CATATGTACACACAGTCCAATGCACACACGTACGTACGCACACATATGTACGCACGTATATACGCACACACGTACACATGCACATACACACGTAAATATGCACATATGTACACAGTACAACACACGTACATAGATATGTACATACGTACACATGTACAGCATACATATACACACATATGTACACACGTATAATGTACATACATACACACGCACACACATGCATACATACAGAAATTACATTTAGGAGAGAATTCCCATATCGGTGCCTGATGCTAATAGAGGTGAGAACACACACACTCTGTTATGTAACAGTAAAATTACATTCATCTCAGTTAATTTAGCAGAATGAATTTGTGTCTAAGAAATTTGGATTTATATGCATAGCTGGAGTAAAAAGTGGATGGCTTGTTTGCTATGCGGAATGATTACTTTTTAAATCAGTTTTATTATAGAAACTTGTCTCCATTTGTAAGGAATCCGTATGACAGTGTGGCTTTCCTAAGGAACCAGTCAGAGGAACATTTAGTGTTTGTGCAAAAATAGCAGACTTCGTTGTAGTTGAAGCTATTTAATGTAAGATCTAAAAATCTTGTTTAAACAGAATAAAATTTCAGAAATAATGTTCTCAGCATTGTCACTTTTTTCCTGTTGTAGGTGGACTCTGTGCCCTGTCGTCTGTAATAGTGCTTACATGTGTCATTGGTTTATAGTGATTCCTCTCCGAAATCTCTGTTGGAATCGAATCCTTCCTGGAACTGCCTTAACAGGTGGGCTCTCTGGAGGAGGCGGTCACGCGCAGGGCTATGCCCTCGTGGGTGGGTGGACATGGTCAGGTGCAGGGCTGTGCCCTTGTGGGTGGGTGGGCGCTCTGGAGGAGGCGGTCACGCGCAGGGCTATGCCCTCGTGGGTGGGTGGGCTCTCTGGAGGAGGTGGTGACTCTGACTCTGGCTCTTCCTTATTTTGTAGCTCTTTCTAGGATGTAAATAAATCCTAAGATGATATCCATCACTCCCACATTTCCCTGTGCTGTCTTGATAGTTATAGCTTGCCTGACGCAGAAAAGGCCCGACCAGTGTTTCTGTCCCTGTAACTTTGGCCTGTCAAGGATGTCATGTGAGTGTAGTTTGTGATCTGTAACCTTTTGAGAGTGTTTTATTTTACCCAGTGTAACACATTTTTGTATGTTTTTAAGATTTTTTTTTTGTTGTTGTTGTAGGGGGGAAGGCAGATTCTAATGAGAGAAGGAGAGACAGACAGATCCTCCATGCACTATTCATTCCTCAAATGGCTGCAGCAGTTGCAGCTGAGCCGATCCAAAGCCAGCAGCCAGGAGCTTCTGGATCTCCCACACGGGTGCAGGGTCCCAAGGCTTTGGGCTGTCTTCTGCTTTCCCAGGCCACAAGCAGGGAGCTGGACAAGAAGTGGAGCAGCTAGGATGTGAGCTGGCACCCATATGGGATCCTGGCACATGCCAGGTGAGGATTAAGTCACTAGGCTACTATGCCAGGCCCTATGTTTTCTTTCTTCTTTTTTTAATTTTAAAGATTTATTTTTATTTGAAAAGCAGAATTTAAGAGGTAAGAAAAGAATTGATCTTCCATCAGCTGTGTTCACTTCCCAGATGGCCACAGTGGCCAATGCTGGGCTGGTCCAAAGCCAGGAACCGGGAGCCTCTTCTGGGTTACCCACGAGCAGGGCCTGAGCACTTGATCTACTTTATTAGCAGGCATTGGAATCCAAGTTGAGCAGCTTGGGCTCACACTGGCACCCGTTTGGGATGTTGGCACTGTGGGTGGAAGCCTAGCGGCATCGCCCACAGCACTGGTCCTAGGATGACGCTGAGGGTCACACAGGCTGTTGACCGGAATACTAGTTCAGTCCTTTTCATTGCTGCATGGTTGAATGTACCATAGCTTATTTTGATGAAGTTCAGTATATAAATTGGTGATTTTTTATTACTCTCTTTGGTTTTGTGATGCCAAGCTCAGTGAATTGGGAAATGGTAATTTTCCATTTTGTGGAAGAATTGTGTTGGTTTGGTTTTATTTCATAAGCATTAGTAGAATTCCCTAGGGAAGTTATCTGGGCTTGGAGGTATCTTTGACTCCAAATTCAGTTTTTAAAAAGTAATTCTAGGGCTGTTCAGATTACTTAATCTGTCAGTCTTGCCGAGATTTAAATTTTATTGATTGTTTCCAAGAATGAACTTTTGATGTCATCGATTTTCTGTTTTTCTCCTTTGAATTATATTAATTTCTTGGGCTGGCACGTTAGCCTAGTGGCTAAAGTCCTCACCTTGCATGCCTGGGATCCCATCTGGATGCCAGTTCATGTCCCGGCAGCTACACTTCCCATCCAGTTCCCTGCTTGTGGCCTGGGAAAGCAGTGGAGGACGGCCCAAAACCTTGGGACCCTGCACCTGCGTGGGAGACCCGGAAGAGGTTCCTGGCTTCTGGCTATGGATCGGCTCAGCTCCAGCCATGCGGTCACTTGGGGAGTGAGTCGTAGGACGGAAGAGCTTCCTCCCTGTCTCTCCTCTCTGTAAATCTGACTTTCCGATAAAGATAAATAAATCTTACAAAAAGAGTTGTTTTGATTTCTGGTATCTGTTTTCCTTGCTCATGTCTGCCTCATCTTTTTTTCTAGCTGTTTAAGGTAGTCGGTTAGGTTATTTTTCTAACCTTTTGTTTTGAATGTCAGCGGTTTTGTACGGCGCTTTTTTGCTTTTTGGGTTATCGGTATGTCTAGACTAGGTTGCTGTTTTTTGTTCATTCCATATTTGTTCCTGTTTTAGCCTTTTTCCTTGAGTTTTGAACACCTTTTGCTCTTCCATCTTGATTTGTTGTGCCCCTGATTAATTTTTAAGGTTACTTCTGTGGGTATTATAAAATTACATACTTTTCAGTCTGCTTAGAATTGGTTTTTAATTTTTGTTTGTTTGTTTGTTTGAAAGAGTTGTAGAAAGGGAGCAGAGAGAGAAAGTTCTGGTGTGTGCTGGTTCACCCCAGATGGGCCCTGTGCCTGGAGCAGGCAAGGCTGGACCAGGAGCCGAACCCTTCCAGGACTTGCGAGCAAGTGGTAGGGGCTTCAGGGGCTGGGCCATCTCCCGCTGCTTTCCCGAGGCTGTTAGCAGGGACAGGACAGGGAGAGGGGCAGTGGGGTCGGCGAACCAGTGTCCTGAAGTGTGTGTGATGCTCCGTCCAGAACTGCAGGCGATGGCTTTAACCACTGTGCCACACTGCCAGCAAGTGTTTATCACTCGGAAGAAATCTTAGCCATATATTCCTCTGCCCTATCCCTGTGGTGTGCGCTGTTTTCTTTCTTTTTTTAAAGATCGACTTATTTTTATTTGAAAGTCAGATTTACAGAGAGGAGGGACAGAAAGATCTTGTATCCACTGGCTGTCTCCCCAAGTGGCTGCAACGGCCGGAGCTGATCTGAAGCCAGGAACCTCTTCCAGGTCTCCCACGTGGCTTTAGGTCGTCCTTGACTGCTTTCTCATGCTACAAGCAGGCAACTGGAAAGGAAGTGGCACAGCCAGGATACGAACTGGCTCCCATATAGGCTCCTGGCACACAGAAGCAAGGGGTTTAGGTACTAGGCCACAGCATCGGGCCCTGTGTGCTGTTTTTTTTTAAAGGTTGGCTCATTCATTTGAGATGCAGGCTGAGCGACAAAGATGTTGCATGGTCTGATGTCCCCCAGCCTGGACCTCAGTCCAGGTCTTCCACATGGGTGGCAGCTACCCACCCACGAGCCACTGTTGCACCCAGGACATGCATGAAACGGGAGCCGGGCCAGGTATCATAGCCAAGCACTCTGATGGTTGTGACATGGTCCTCTTAACGGTAGGCAGATTCACGTCTCTTCTGTGGTCCAGTAAGTGAAAACTGTCCTTGGTGCAGGTGCATGTCTTGGTACGTGGCTAGGTTGTCCTTCCCTTCTTGGTCTTGTGTTACCTCAGCGTAGATTGGAAGTGCTGTCAGCTGGTAGTGTTAATGTTTGCTTTCGTTGCCAGACACGCTTTATTTCAAGATCAGAATAGTTAATCACGTTCACCGACATCATTTACATTTCTCTCATTCTGGTGTTCTTGTTCTTGAAGTGTGTGTGTGTGTGTGCGCGTGTGTGTAGCTACTCCAAAGAGTTGGGAAATTGAGAATGTCCTTGAGTTCACACTACTAAAGCTGATGGACAAATCTATTTTTTTGCCCTTTGGCTTGTGGGTTCTGGTGAGAAGCCCCCGGCGTGGGAATCATGAGCCCTTCTCTCTGTTAGGAGAGTAGTGGTGTTGTGTTGTTTATTTCTGGCAGCTTTATCTGGACTTCCTGTGATGGTGAGCTGGCTGGCCGCACTGCATTGGAGGGAGGGTCCAGCCTGCGTCTGCTCCTCTTCCACTGCACTCAGCTACCCCTGCTTGGCCTCCCGAGAGGAATTTGAGCGTTGCAGAATTGCCTTATAGATTTCTGTGGATCCAGTCATTGTTGTTTCCTGTTTCGTGTCTTTTTGTTTAGACTTGGTAGTTTCTGCTCATTGGTTTTGACCTATGTGCACTTGTTTTGCAGGCTTGCTGTTTTGTTTTTGTTCCATTGAGTCTATGGACTATGAGTGTAGTGTATTTTTAAACCTCAGTTGCTGTACTTTCTCGATTCTGAAATTTGCATTTGGTGGTTCTTTAAGTGTCTTCTGTTTCTTGGCCTAGATTTTAGCTTCCCATTGCTCACAGGATATTTGCTTTTCCTTCTTGGATAGAAATCACTCCCACTCCTTAGGTACGTCATTGCACATAGCTCAGGAGGACTTGGCGCCTCCAACATCCTGCGCTTTGCTCTGTTGATCCCTTCGATGGTGAAGTTGTGCAGATCTGAAGCCAGGAACCAGGAGCTACTTCCAGGTCTCCCACGCAGGTGCAGGGTCCCAAGGCTTTGGGCCGTTTTCGACTGCTTTCCCAGGCCACAGGCAGGGAGCAGGAAGGGAAGTGGAACAACTGGGACATGAACCAGCTCTCATGGGATGCCAGTTCTTGCAAAGACTTTAGCCACTAGGCTCCTGTCCTGGGCCCAAAACAATTTTCATGAATTCAGATTTTAAATGATAGCTTTAAAAAACTTGTTCTGTTTTCAAGTTGGTGGGTTCTGTACCTGAGCCTTCTGGCTCGCCTTTCACTTTGAAGATGGCTGTTCCTGGCTCACTTCGTCCTGCAGGGACGGCTTGTTTAAGTGGACGCGGAGCGTGGTGTGAGAGAGCAAGGCACTCACAGGCCTTGTGTTGGCAGTCGCCTCCTCTCGCAGCCTGTGTCCGAATTTTGGAGACTTTCTGAACCATCACTTGACATGAAATGATATGAGCTCATTTCATTATGAGACTTCTAGGCACGATGGCCCGTTTCTGTCTTGATTTTTGGTTTATTGGTAAACAGTAATTTAAAGTGTTACTTGTTCATAGTGAGTGCTGCTTGCACTACAGGCTGTTTACTGAAGGTAGCTTCAGAGTAGAGTTGACTGGGAAAAATTCCCAGCAATAATACTGTTCCAGTGGTGAACAAGGAATCATTCCGTGAGAGCAAAGAGTGTTTGCAAGTTATCTGCCTTGTGTCATGTTTAACTGATTGTGGTTGGTTGGGGTGAGACTTGAGCACAGCTTTGGTGACTCCAGGCAGCACTTGCTGCGACGGACCGGCTCAGTTGGTGATTTCTCACACAGGCTTCTACCGGAGGTGGCGTGACAATTTGCGATTGCCTGGCTTTGTCCTGGATCCACTCTGGGTTCTAGTTTTCTGCTAGTGCGCCTCCTGGGGGCTGACAGGTTCTGGTTCAAGCGCCTGACCCCTGCCACCCGTGTTAGAGCAGGCATTGAGTTTCTGGCTCCTGGCTTCAGCCTGCCCTGGCTCTGGATCTTGCGTGTATTTGGGAGTGAACCAGCAGAAGAACGCCTCTTTCTTCATGTTCATCTTAAAATTGTAAACCACAGAAGCAAATAAGCAAGCTGGCAGCTGGATTTCGAGCTCTGCTCCGTGGTGGTGAGCGAGAGCCCTCCTAGGCATCAGGAAGGCGAGCAGCCGTGTTGATCTCTGAGAGTCTGCTGATGGTAAGACTGGCCTGGGGATGGAACAGGCTGCCTTCGTGTTAGTGGCTGCAGAAGGCTCTGCTTGCCTAATTCTGGTGCCCGAGTTGTTAGTTGTTGAGGTACATCACTCAGAATGTGTAATGAATACCTGTTTCATTTTTGAAAACTTATTTGTATTTGAAAGGCCGATTTACAGAGAGTAGACAGAGATCTTCCATTGCTGGTTCACTGCCCAAGTGGCCACAGCTGTCAGAGCTGGGCCTGTCTGAAGGTAGGGGCAGGGAGGTTCTTCTGGGTCTCCCCGGGAGTGCAGAGGCCTGAGGCCTTGGGCCATCCTCTGCTACTTTTCCAGGCCATCAGCAAGGAGCTGGGTCAGAAGTGAAGCAGCTGGGGCTCAAACTGACATCCATATGGAGTGCTGGCACTGCAGGCGGAGGAGTAGCGTGCTATGCCACTACAAGCCCCTGAGTGAATGCTCTCTTTTTAAAATAGAAATTTAATTTCTAGAAGATTGAATTTGAGGCTTCTTTTTTTCAGCCTTGGACCTCTTTGAGGGAGGTCCTTGGGATTTCTGTGGGTTTTCTGTGGAATATGCCATGTGAATCCGCGTGGACTCGAGCACCTTCATGATGTGTGGCTGTTCTGGGCTGAGCTGTGCCCGGCCTGGGGGCAGCTCTACTTCGTCCCAGCATCCTTGTCTTGCACCCTGGCTCCGTGTGTGAGAGTTGAGAGACGAAAGGCCCTTCTTCATTTGTACCTGGAGTCTGATTGTATTTTTTGACATGTGAGTGAGGATACTGACCGATTTAGTTATTCAGAAATGTTAATTTGACCTTTTTTTCAGCCTTTTGCCTTTGACTGTTGTCTAAGAAAAGCCAAGTGGGTGAGTGATCGCATTCCCATTTCTCTTGTCTTCCTAGCAGTAGTCATCACCAAACCGTGTGCTCTTACGTGCTGCCGTAGCTGGGTTTTTAGATAGTCCTGTTGGGCGTTGGGGTTTGGAGTATGAGCAGGGCTGTGTGAACTTGTACAAATAATGGCCAGGTGAAATCGGGGAGGAGTTGTGCAGTGAACTGGAAAGGCGGATGGATGCGGGAGGAGGCAGCCCATGGGAGCCGGGCTGAGCCGGGCCGAGCCGGGCCTGGGCAGTCTTTGTCCTGGAGACTTCGGCCTTGAGGTGCCTCAGTGGTTGCTATAGTGGAAGAGACATTCTTACATTCCCAGGTGGAACTTGGAGCAATTGTTTGCATGTATCAACTAATCTTAAATCCATTTTATTTTCAGTCTGGAATTTCACAATTGTACTGCACCTATATGAGGAAGATGGGATCCCATGTGGGCGCTGGTTTGTGTCCCGGTGGTTCCACTTCCCATCCAGCTCCCTGCCTGTGGCCTGGGAAAGCAGCCTTGGGATCCTGCACCCACATGGGAGACCCGGAAGAGGCTCCTGTCTCCTGACTTTGAATCGGTGCAGCTTCAGCTGTTGGGCCACTTGGGGAGTGAATCAGTGGATGGAAGATCTTCCTTCTGTCTCTCCCCTTCTCTGTATATCTGCCTTTCTACTAAAAAAATCTGAAAAGAAAAAAAGAAAGTAGTGTTTGACATATATACAACTCATGTGGAGGACTTATAAGTAAAACTGGAAAGTAGTTTAGGTGGATCGTGGCTCAATGATTATGGAACCGTCACAGCAGTGATGCAGAAGTGGGCTCCATCTCCCTGGCCTGTAGCCGCAGGGAGGGGCGCCTTCCCAACCACACAAGAAACTGCTGTGCACACTGCAGCTCTGTGTGATAGTGCTGCCTTTCTGTTTCCTGAAATTTAGAGCAGAGCTGGCGCTTGGAGCCCTGGAACTTGCAGTTGGATACAGGAGCCCTGGCAGGGCAGTGTGCAGATGTTGGTAAAATACAGGCTCTGGCTCACTGGGTGGGTAGTAGTGTGTGGGCATATCCTGTGCTGGTTTGGTCTCAGGTGGTAGCGAGTATCTGGATTGATGTGTTTTTCTAGCAGTCCATTTTGTCGGCTTGCCCGTGTACGCTGCCGCTGTTCCTGTGCTGGCTCGGAGGTCTCCTGCACTCTGGCCTCTTAGACCCCTCCACGATCTGTCCACTTAGCACAGCACACGTCCGGTCTGGGTGCTTCCCGGAACAAGGCACTGCCGTGCCATTATGCAGCAGTCTTGTTGCTGGCCTGACTACACTCAGAACCTGCGAGTGGCTGAGCTCCGAGCACCCGCAGGCCACACTGCCCTCTGCTGTCCTCTGGACTTTGCCTTCAGCCGTGGCGTGCTGCTGTGCACATTCCTCTGGTGACTCGCTGCCGGTTCCCAGGCCGCCCTAGCAAGCTTGTGACTCGCCGGTGACTTCACGGTGCCCTTGTTTCCACTGTGTTTCTCCCTACCGGGGGCTTCTGTCCTGTCCAGTGCTGTACTGAAGGAATTGCCTAGTGCTTGCCTACCTGTAGCATTAAATAAAGCCTTGACTTAAAAAAAAAATCCTCAAAAAGTTGTTGGGCTTTTGCTTCAGTAATTGATAGGTTATTCTACCTGCCTTCAGAATGGTCCATCGCATTGAGGATAGCTGATAATGTTCGCTTGAAGCTGTCTGTCCCTTCAGGCCAAACCTTTCCATTTGACTTTGCTGTTCATGATATGGTTTCCAAGGCTGTCACTTTTATCAATACATTGTTTGTCTTTAAGAAAAATTGCAGCAGACTAAACCAAATATTAGTGTCTCGGCTGAGAAGGGAAGTCTGCTTCTTGTTTTGCCAGTCTGTTTCTGCAGGCATGATGATTGAATTAAATGTTTCAGGGACGATTGGCACTGACTCATTTTTGGATTTAGTTATTGAAGCCTTAAATTATTCTTCAGGTGTTACTAAGTTTCTTCTGACTTTGCTCTAAGTTTTTAAAAAAATTTATTTATTGTTTAGAGAGAACATATAATAATTGGTCTTACTTCACTGAGCATAATGGTCTGTAGTTGGGACCACCTAGTTGCAGATGGTATAATTTCGTTCTTTGTAACGGCTGAGTAATATTCCATGGAGTAGATGTGCCACAGTTTCTTTAACCACTCCTCGTTGGGCAGGCCTCTGGATTGTTTCCACGTCTTTGCTGTTGTAGATTGTGCTGCTGCTAATACAGGATCACAGATCCCCTTCTCAGACACGGTTTTCCTCCCGTTGAGCATATTCCTAGGCGCAGGATAGCTGGGTCATAATGGCAGGTTTTCTGCAGTTCTCTAAGCACTCTCCATACTGATTGCACTTTGCTGTGCTTCCTGAATTTGTTCACCAAAGCTTAGAAATTCTTTAGCTCTTTGAATTCCTGCCTTTCTAGTTCACTTCCTGGCAGGTTCAGCAGCGCAGGTCTGCTAGTCCATTCCTACTCTAATGGCACGCCAGTCATCAGAGAAAATACTTGTGATGTCTTTCTCTCTCCAGAGACTCTTTGGGGTCAGCGTTGGAGAGCTGTGACTCGTGTGTGTGGCTTGCACTGCTCTCTCTGTCCGCTACCCTGCACTGACATCTTGCAGGCGAAGCGCATGGCTTATATCCATGTCTGTCTTTTTTCATAATCGCACACTTTTGCTTCTCCTTGTTCCAGTCAGATTGGTCTAGCCAAATGGTATTTAATATTCCTGCATCTATGATCTCATTTCCGATGTGCAGGCTGTAGCTGTGTCTGCCACATGGTTTGCCTTTTGTTGTTGTTAATTAATACTTGTATAAGGCTGCATCTGTGCTGTGGCCCAGCAGGCTCATCCTCCGCCTCCTGCTCCAGCATCCCATAAGGGTACTAGTTCATGTCCTGGCTGCTTCACTTCTCATCCAGCTCCTAGATTATGACCTGGGAAAGCAGCAGAGGGTGGTTCCAGTGCTTGGGCTCTTGTACCTACGGGGAAGACCTGGGGGAAGCTCCAGGCTCCTGGCTTCAGATCGGCTCAGCTCCAGCTGTTGCAGGCATTAGCGGAGTGAACTGGCAGATGGAGGATCTGTCTCTCCTTTTCTTGGTGTAAATCTACCTTTCAAAAAAAAAAATCAATAAATGTTAAAAAAAAAATGACTGAGGGGCCCGGCACCGTGGGCTAGTGGCTGAAGTCCTCGCCTTGAATGCGCTGGGATCCCATATGGGCGCCGGTTCTAATCCCGGCGGCCCCTCTTCCCATCCAGCTCCCTGCCTGTGGCCTGGGAAAGCAGTCGAGGACGGCCCAAAGCTTTGAACCCAGCACCCACATGGGAGGCCTGGAAGAAGTTCCTGGCTCCTGGCTTCAGATCGGCACAGCACCAGCTGCTGAGGTCATTTGGGGAGTGATCATCAGATGGAGGATCTTGGATCTTTCTCTTTGTCTCTCCTCCTCTCTGTATATCTGCCTTTCCAATAAAAATAAATAAATGTTTTTTAAAAATGACTTCTTTATAAAAAGCAGTTGTAAGGCTTTTCCGTAAGCTGGTGCACTTGGCGCCGGCGGTGAATGTGGGGCTCCGGGTTATCCGCAAACCGCCTGCCTTCTGTTGTCCACTCTGGTTTCCTGCAGTCTGAGAGGTTTTTCTAATTTTTATGGTTTGGGGAGGAGGCGATGATAAACAGTCTCTGATGATTTATCTTGTAGGAAACTGGAGCCCGAGGAGAACTGAAGAGGGACGCGGCCTACGTCCTCAGTGCGGGAGAGCAGGACGGGGCAGACATGGAAGGTAGTGTTCACACCTGACCTTTGCTGTTTCCAGAATGCTTGCTTCCTAGGGAAGCTGTGTAGGAAGTGGACCTGTCTTTTTTTCCTTCGTGCCTTGTCTGATTTTTGATCAACAGGTTTTTGCTTTGTTGAGCTATTTCATTAACATTTTGATGTCCTCCTTTTGTCGTCTTAATGAAAGGTAAGTGCTGATGCTTTTCCTCGAAAAAGAGAAGAAGCCTTGACTCTAGCTGTTGTTGCCCTTGCCTCAGTTTACCTGCAGGCTGTGTTCATTTGTTAACACTCTCTGCTTGGGTTTGTTTTTTCCCCATTCCTTTTATTCTTCCTAAAAAAAATATTAAAAATTGTAAGTGAAGTGTTTTGGTGATGAATTCTAAGTTTTCTTCTCTAACCCTTCTCAGACCTGTTCAGAGATACCTTATTGAGGGTGCTACCCTGGGTTGTAAGTTTCTCTGTTAACACTTTGAAGATATTATTTAGTAGATTGCTGTTTTATTTCTTCCTGTCTAGAAACTGCTCCCTGGTTCAGCCGTCAGTTTCTTGAACAGGCTGTGCACCCTCCCTGCCCTTCCCCTTTTCCTAGTTCCTGTGTTTGGTGCGGAGTACTTGGACCCTGCGGTCTCTAGACTTGGGTTATGTTTACTCCCCGGTTTAGCATGTGTTTTATGTCCTTTGACTTATGGATTCGTGTTCTTAAACCACACTCAGTCATTCCTCTCTCCTGGTTCTTCGCCGCTTCCTCCCAGACCCTCGGCCCCCAGGCCAGCCAGCTTACATCTGCCGGCTTCCATCTCCTGGAATCGCCACGATTTGCTCAAATTTGTGTTTTGGCTTACAGATCCTCACTGCCCTGTGGTGCGGGAGCCAGTGAGCTTGTGATTGGCTGCCTGTTCCTCTCAGGCACCGTTCAGTGGAGAGGTTAGGCTGCAAGCATTGGCTCTGCCAGGTGCCGAGAGCTCTGACACTGTCTCCTCCTCGGGGTTTGTGTTTGCTTTCCGAACTCGGGCTGAGCACATCCAGCTGCCTGTTCTCAGGCCAGGACCTGCGGCTCCTGCTCACAGTGCAGCTGCGCCTTCGTTTGCATTTTCCCTGAGTTGCTGGTGACTTGGTGATGGACACGTGTAGGGGTGTTGGGTGTTGGCATTCCTGCAGATTCTGACAAGAGCTGATGCCATCTGTTCGTTTTAGATGTGCCTTAAGCTAACAATTCCATTTTAGGAATTTGTTGCATGGATTTATTTCTAAAGGTGTGAAATAACAGAAAATGTTGCCTGGTAGTATTGTCATAGCCAAGGTTGAAAACAAGTGAGTGCCAATCAAGTGACTGAGAAGAAGAGAGACACGCCAGTGTGTTCTGCTCTAGCGCCACGTGAAGGAGAAAATGTTAAAGAATTTGACGATTTGCTTTCTGTGCAGTGAAACGTCTGGAAGAAGCAGAAAAAGGTTGACCATTGCTACTTGAGTAGGACTGAATGAATAGGGGTCAGTTTGGACAATTTGTCACTGTACACTTTTTTTGCTTTACATTTTGAGCCATATGAGTTTTACTTTAAATTAAATAAATGAAAAGTGCATGTTACTACCTCATTAAAAAATGTAGGAGATGTGCTGTTGGGGCAGTTGGTGTGTCTGAGATGCTTTGATTCGCAGTGGGTGGTGGTTCAGACACGAGTGCCACGGCGCGGGCACCCTGAGTGGGGTTTCACTCTGCAGCCTAGGAGGCCTACATGGGCTCTTCTCCTTCCAGGTGAAGGGAGTGGTGAGGACACTGCTGCCACCCGCCTGTGGCACGATGAGTCTGGAAGATGTCCAATATGTCTCGGTTGCCTGTCGGAGAAGGAGGTTGGCTTTCCGGAAAGCTGCAGTCATGTCTTCTGTGTGAGCTGTATTCTGAAATGGGCAGAGGTATGTAGCAAGCGCAGCGAGTACTGTATTGCGCTCTCGGCGTGACTTCATTCACCGTGTGAAGTCAGAGTTGACACTGCCTTTGTAGATTACTGCACAGGTCAACGTATTTCCCCCCGACTTTGGACAGGTTTTCCTGTATTATTCAAATGCTATGAGATTATTTCCTTCTCATTTTCTGTCACTGAGCATTTTATTCTCTTTCAATAAATTTTAAATGCTTACCATTTTTTTTGGAAGAAATCTTCCAAAAAATCTTCATAAGGCAGATTAGGCAGGGAAGGAGAGCACACGAGCCCTTCTTTCTACTAGTTTGCTCGCCAAATGGTGACAGCGGCTGAGCTGATCCAAAGTCAGAGGCCAAAGACTCCATCCTCTGCTGCTCCCAGGTCATGATCAGGGAGCCTGGTCTGAAGTGGAGCAGCCGGGACTCGAACTGGATGAGCTTTTTAGGCCACTGCACTGGTCCCCAAAACAACGAGAGCGTGAAGAGATTCTTGACAGATGGCAACTAAGAAACAGTGTGCGGTGTTGAGCCACTCATGGGTATTAATTCATAACCCTCATTATATAAATTATTAGTGAAGAACAATGTGTTAATATTAATCATGATATGTTTCCCAAGTAAGTATTTTGGCAGTGTGTGTTAGTTAAGGAGATCTTCCTGCCAGCTATTTCCGGCTTGTTCAATGTTCCTGGGACACTGAAATGGCTCATTGCGTAATTGGGTCTCTGGAGCGGGCACGCTTGACCTGTACTCTCAGGAAGCGTTGGAGGGTGGCCTAGCTTCTGTATGGCCTGGCTGGATTTCGGCAGCAGGGAGGAAAAGAATGGTTTCTGCTTAGTGTGGCTGTGGACGTGGAGAGAATGAAGGGTAGCTAAAAACATTTTGGGGAAAGGTGTTTTCCATTTTGCTGAATTCATGTGATAGGCTAATTTCTGTGCATTTACAGGAGCATTGATTAATGGAATAAGCATTTTTTTCTGATGCCCCAATTAAGTAATTCCTCTGGTTTGAATTTAGTGTGCCTTCGTTTTAATTTTGTGTTTAAAAGGGGATTTTTGGTGGATGGGATTTAGTACTTTTCATAATCTCTTCAGCGAGCACATAATTACGAACTTTAGTGACATTGTCTAAGAAAGTTAGAATGTGTAAAACTTAGTTTTCTGTTCTTCCTTACAACTTCCAGTACGTCTTTCACACCACCAGAAGCTTTTTCATCAAATCCATGTTTCTGTGGGGTATTTAGAAGTGGGATTTGCTGTACAATTTTGTTGGAATGAGATCTCTTTTCTCAAGATTGCAAGTGGTGATAGTGGTAAGGCGGGGTGGGGAGGACTGACTAAGCAAAATACTTCATCGAGACTGGAAGAATACGCAGGCCCGTGTGAATGCGTTCAGGACAAGGATGATTGATTACTGCATCACTGTGTACAAGTGATAAATGAATACTGATTGACATTCCGGCTTTAAACTAAACTTCCAGATTGACTTTTATTGTTATGATGAAAATTAGCAATTATGACGAATTACATAATTCAAAACAGATGGCTTGGGCCTCTCCACCCACATGGGATAGCCAGATGAAGCTCCTGACTCCTGGTGTTGGCTGGCTCTGCCCTGGCCATCACGGCCATTGGCCATTCAGGGTGTGAAGCAGTGGTTGAAGGCCTTTTCTGAGATTCTTTCAGATACATAACTGTAGGAGGACATTGTGACCTTAGAAGGTCAGCGAGCACAGGATTACAGTTGATTGGCTAATATTTGCATGAGAACAACTGAGTGGGTATCTTTTGTATACCTGATTGGATATCATTTGTATAAGAACAGTTGAATGGACAGTATGTGTGCGAGAACACTTGGTGGAATATACAAGACAAAAGGAGTTCCAGACAAAAGCATAGCAACTGTTACTGGGTTTTGTCCACAAGCTCAATAATTCCTCCCTTATCCCATATGACCCTCAGTGTATAAAGTCAAATGCCATCAGTCAGGGTCCACGCGTGTTATTATCGGCTCTGTGCACCAAGTCCATCGCTGTGGGACAGTGACATATAAATATCTTAAAAATAATTTTTAAAACTTGACCCCTAAAGTGCTATTTATGTTCACTTTGAGTATATGAGTAGAAATCAATATGAGACTTACAGTAGCTAGAAAAATAGTAAGGAATGTGCCTAGTGGAGCTTTCTAAATTTCTGTGTCTTTCAGAAATGTGCTGTGCTGTGGAGAGGTATCCCAGGTTCATTAAAGCTGTGGTGAAGGACGTGCATCCAGGCTGAGCTTTATGGCACAGCGGGTTAAGCTGACACTAGGGATGCCTGCTGGTTCTGGTCGTGTCTCCTCTTCTTCCCTCTGGCTTTCTGCTGCTGCGCCCAGCAAGGCGGCACTCCTGGAGTTCCCGCCCCAGCCCTGGCTGTCGTGCACGTGTAGGGAATGTGCCTCTCTCGCTAATTGCACACTCTCTCCTCTACCAGCATGTCTTTTGCATATGTATGTATTTTAAAGATCTACTTATTTTTACTAGAAATGCAGATTCATGGAGAGGAAGAGACACAGAGAGATAGACACTCCCTGAGTGGCTGCAGTGGCCAGAGTTCAGCTGATCTGAACCAGGAAGCTCTTCCGTGTCTCTCATGTGGGTGCAGCCATTGAATAAATTTTGCTTTGTGTGAAACCAGATTTTTTTTTTTAATTAATTTATTTTTATTACAAAGTCAGATATACAGAGAGGAGGAGAGGCAGAGAGGAAGATCTTCCGACTGATGATTCACTTCCCAAGTGAGCGCAGTGGCTGGAGCTGAGCCAATTCCACGCCAGGAGCTTCTTCCAGGTCTCCACGTGGGTGCAGGGTCCCAAAGCTTTGGGCCATCCTCGACTGCCTTCCCAGGCCACAAGCAGGGAACTGGATGGGAAGTGGAGCTAAAAAATTAAGGTTATGGTTTTTGTCTTGCTCTATTTCATATTCCTGAGCCATTGACACATATGTTTCCAAAATGAAAGTTAGTTTCAAGCTCTAAAATTTTGGTTCTGTGATTATTTAAGTAAGGAATAAATAACAATTCTTGTAGCCTCCTCGTTATTTTTATTAATGGTAACCGTCACACAGTTAGGGTATTGAGTTCTTTGAACTAGAATTATCATTGTGGTGTCTTCCTATAAAGGTATGGGATCCTGGTGCATGTAAAGTGAGGATTTAGACACTAGGGCCCAACTAAAATATTTTTCATGACCTCCCCTCATATCCATGTCTGTCTTCCTAGGTTTGTGTCTGCAAATCTTGATGAGTGTGACAGTCCAGAAAGGCAGAGGTCACATTGCTCTCTTGAGGAATAACATAGTTTACCTATATTCTATTATCTTTGGAATGAAGTTGAAATCCTGATTTTGTTTGTTTGTTTGTTTGTTAAGATTTATTTATTTTTATTTGAAAGACAGAGAGAGGAGGACACAGAGGGATCATCCATCTGGTGGCCCACTTCTAACGGCGACAGCTGCCAGAGCTGGGCCTTCTGAAGCCAGGAACCTGCAGCTTCCTCCAGGTCCCCTATGTGGGCTGTTTCTTCCTGCTTTCCCTGGCACACTAGCAAGGTGCTGGATCAGAAGTAGAGTAGCTGGGACTCAAACTGGCGTGCATACAGGAGCCAGCACTGCAGGCGAAGGTCGTGTTTGCTGTAAGCGGTGCTGGCCCCCTGCTTGGTTATACCCACCCTCAACCCCACATGCTTTTTTTTTGTGTGTGTCCTTATTTGTTGATACCACTCTGGCTACCTGACCACTGTAGTGGTCTTATATTATTTAAATAATAAAGAAAATTTACAAAATTTAATGATGTTGTCAGACAAAATTATGTGGGTGCACATGCTCGTGAGATTTTCCTTACTTTTTTGTTTAATCGAAAGTCACAGTTACGAAGATTTATGTGAGAGAAAAAAGGTGTCCCCTTTGCTGGTTCAATCCCCAGAGCTGGCACAGACTGAGGCTGGGAGCTTCTTCTTGGTCTCCTACCTGGGTGCAGGGCCTAAGGACTTGGGCCGTCCTCTGTCCTTTCCCAGGCCACAGGCAGGGAGCTGGATCACAAGTGGAGCAGCCAGGACTCGAACCAGAGTTCCTATGGGATGTTGGCACCACAGGTGGTGGATTAGTTTGCTGTGCCACCTTGCAGTCCTACATGTAAGTTTGGAAAGTACAGGAAAGCAGTTGCATCAAGTTCAAGTTGACGTCATAATGGAATCCTTCATAAATAAAGAACATTTAGAATTCAATTTGAAAAGAAAAACCAGCAGTATAATAAAATGTTAGGCAAAGAGCATGAATAGATAGTTTATAAAAAAGGATTTTGGCTAGCCCTTAAAAACATGAAAATATATTCAATCTCACATAAAAGGAAGTGTAATCAAACCTGTATGGTAAAGCATGATGATCATGATAGACCAGCTCTTTTTATATGAATCCAACTAAGACATGTAATTGAGAAAAACGCAGAGTACAGTGTATCATGTGAATTTATTCTGTGAAGACTTACGTTTCTCTTGTCTGCAAAAACAACACTGAGAAACTGACGTCAGGGCAGAGTCCTTCTGTAGATTCCTGCTGGTACAGGTGCCTGTTCAGAATGACTCATTTGGGGAAAGACTGTGTCACAGGATGGTAAGTCTGCAAGGATGTTGCCAGCTGGCTGTCGGAGAGCTGAGGGTGCCCGCCCAGGCGTGGTCACTCCAGGGGATGCCAGCTGGCTGTCGGAGAGCTGAGGGTGCCCGTCCAGGCGTGGTCACACCAGGGATGCCAGCTGGCCGTCGGAGAGCTGTGGTTGATGCTTCCAGGGCAGTGTGTGCTCCCTGGTTCTGGATTCAGTGGCGCTCTTCTCATCACTGTGTCTGCCAATATCTAGCATGCTGGACATCTTAGTAATGTAGTTTAATCTTGATATTTTATAAAGAAACAGTAATAAAGATACAATTTATCATTCATTCTTTCAGACTCTGGCTTCGTGTCCTATTGACCGAAAACCGTTTCAGGCGGTGTTGAAGTTCAGCACATCGGAAGGCTGCGTTAAGGTGAGCCAGGGGCTGCTTGGCAGCACTATGTCAAGTGAGTTCGGAGGTTGTACTTGGCAGGGACCTGCTCTGCCCGACTCGCTGGATGATGAGACCAGATTGAGGCTGAGGCTCAGCCTTCGTGGCCAGTCATGAAGGTCTCTGAGGATGTTCCAATAAGGCTTTGGTCTGTTGTTAATTTCTGCTTAAGTTTTTATCTTAGTGTGAAGATTTCTGCGTTTTATAAATGTTTAATAATGACACAGCACTTTGAACACATTTTTTAATTTAAAAAATAGAATATTAGATCCAAAGACATCTTCCCAAAATTATTTTTTTGTGAAAGATAGTATAATTTGGAGATTAGTCAATGAAATTAAGTGTAAAATAGTACCTTTATTCTTTTTTTTTTAAAGATTTATTTTTGTTATTTTTTTTATTGGAAAGGCAGAGAGGAAGACAGAGAGGAAGATATACAGAGAGGAAGATATACAGAGAGGAGAGACAGAGAGGAAGATCTTCCGACCAATGATTCACTCCCCAAGTGAGCGCAACGGCTGAAGTTGTGCCAATCCGAAGCCAGGAGCCTCTTCCGGGTCTCCCACGCGGGTGCAGGGTCCCAAAGCTTTGGGCCGTCCTCCACTGCTTTCCCGGGCCACAGGCAGGGAGCTGGAAGGGAAGCGTGGCTACGGGGATAGAACCGGCGCCCATATGGGATCCCGGGCGTGCAAGGCGAGGACCTTAACCACTGCGCCACCGTGCCAGGCCCCTACCTTTATTCTTAAATATTAATTACCTCATTGATGTTGCCTTTTATGTATGATTAGTATGAGTAATTGATATTAATTGTTGATTTAGAAGGAAACAAAGCAAATAGGTGTGTTATTTCTGAGTTAATAATAAATATAGAATAAAGAGGAGTGGTGCTTGAGTAGAGTGAGTGAAGAAGGAGTTTCTTGAGCTGTTACAGATAGCTGCTTCCTGGCTGGAAAGTTGCTGAAAATGAGGATCACAGCACATACTTGAGTGTGACTCCGTTAGCAGGAAAGCGCGCCGTTTCCACAGGAGGCAGGAAAGACGTACAAGCAGCGCATGTTCGTGAAACGTTGTTTTCTAGGTATTTATAGCTTATTTGGGTATATTTTTACCAGTTGAGTTTTGATATAAGCTACAAAGGAGATTGCAGCTCATCCACAATGAGTCACATCTGAAGGTTTGTTGTTGTGGATGTGCAACTCTTACCTGTCAGTTCATTACCTGTTACCTGTCAGTTCATTTCCCACATTACCGACAAAGTTAAGTTCCCAAGTAAAATCGCTATCTCACACATCTCCTTCATAGGCGCTGTTTGCTCTGTGACTCGTGAACGAGCTGTTGGCTCCAGCATCATTGCATTGGGGTCCTAACACTGCGCCAGCTTCACACCCTGCTCTGCTTCTCTGCTTGCACTGGCCCTGAGTGCATTTTAACTTGGTATTCTCTTCTCTGTCTAGAACATTCTTTCACTTAGATTCCCTGTCATTGTTGAAGGTAACTCCTAAATCATGTACTTGCTAACACCTGTGACACCTTAGGTGAGTTAATTTCCCAGTGCCATGTGTGTGTAATTCATTTGTGCTCATATCTGTTGTGAGCATTTAATCTCTGTACAGCCTCCTCTTTGTTTCATTTCCCCAGAGCTTAGCACACTAAGCCTGTGCCTTGAAATGGCATGCTGAGGGCCCGGCGACATGGCCTAGTATCTAAAGTCCTTGCCTTGAACGCGCTGGGATCCCATATGGATGCCAGTTCTAATCCCAGCAGCTCCACTTCCCATCCAGCTCCCTGCCTGTGGCCTGGGAAAGCAGTCGAGAATGGCTCAAAGCCTTGGGACCCTGCACCCATGTGGGAGACCTGGAGGAGGTTCCTGGCTCCTGGCTTTGGATTAACACAGAACTGGCCATTGCAGTCACTTGGGGAGTGAATCATTGGACGGAAGATCTTCCTCTCTGTCTCTCCTCTTCTCTGTATATCTGACTTTGCAATAAAAATAAATAATTTTTTTTTTTTTTTTTTTTTTTTTACTATTTTACTTAGGATTCCCCCCCAAACTCCCAACCCCAACAGGTTTTCTCCAAGATGCTACAGTAGTATAGTCCTTCCTAAGGAATCATAATTCCGTCAGTCTCTTATTTAAGTGTGCCCCAACATTGCTGATACAGTGTTAGATAGTCCAGTGTCCCATTGTCCAAACATGTCCAACGGTTTCATTGGGAGTCTGTCTTTTGTTTGGAATGCATGTTGCATTGTACCCCCACATCTGGATATGGTAGACCCTAGTCCTCCATCACTATATATTTCCATAATTGAGAAGCCATGAAACAAGGTCAACAACTGGTAGAGTTAGAATAGCCACATTAACAAATTACAGCACCATGAAAAAACACACCACTGAGTAACCAACACATGGGTGACTAAAAGGAAACACAAAAGTCTCTTGGGAAAAATGTCACTGTGCTATCCATGAACCAGTGATGAATTTGAGAAGAGAAAAGAAAGTACTTGGAATAAATGAAACTGAAATAAAAAAACATCATAACACATGGGATGCAGCCAAAACAACAAAACAAAACAAAAAAAACCAACCAGTATGGATTGGGTTATTGAAGTTACACTTTCCATGATGGTTTCCTTATATTAGACAGAACATATGAAGTTTGTTCTTTTGTGATTGACTCATTTCACTGAGCAAAATGGTCTCTAGTTGGGACCACCTAGCTGTAAACAGCATAATTTCATCCTTCTTAATAGCTGAATAATGTTCCATGGAGTAGATGTACCACAGTTTCTTTAACCATGCTTCTTTGGAAGCACATCTGGTTTGTTTCCATGTCTTTGCTATTGTAGATTGTGCTGCTGCAAATATAGGATTACAGATCCCCTTCTCCTATGCAGATTTCACTTCTGGGTATATTCCTAGGAGCGGGATAGCTGGGTCATATGGCAGGTTTATTTGCAATTCTCCAAGCACTCTCCATACCGATTTCCACAGTGGCTGTACTAACCTACACTCCTACCAGCAGTGAAGGAGGGTGCCTTTCTCCCCACTTCCACACCAGCAGGTGGTGTTAGCAGAGTTCTGAATGTAGGCCAGTCTCACTGGAGTTAGGTGGTACCTCAAGGTGGTTTCATTTGTAACTCTCTGATGGCTAGGGAGCCTGAGCATCTTCTCATATGCCTGTTAGCCGTTCGAATGTGTTCTTTGAAAAATGTCTGTTCATTTCCTTTGCTCATTTTTTCATAGGGGTGTGTGTGTGTGTGTGTCCCCCTGGGTTTCTGAAGCTCTTTGTAAATCCTGGATATTAGTCCCCTATCACTTGTGTAGTGTGCAAACATTTTCTCCCGTTCTGTTGGTTGCTTCTTCACTTCAGTTATTTCTTTTCCTGTGCGCAAGCTTTTTAGTTTGATGTAGTCCTATTGGTTGATTTTGGCTTTGATTGCTTTTGCTTTTGGCGTCTTTTCTAAGAAGTCATTCCCTGTTCCTCTATCTTGGAGAGTGCTTCCTATGTTTTCCTTTCATGGTTTGATGGTTTCTGGGTGTGGATGTAGGTCTTTGATCCATTTAGAGCTGATTTTTGTATACTGTGACAGGTGGAGGTCTTGCTTCTTTATTCTGCAAGCTGCTATCCAATTGTCCCAACAGCATTTGTTGAATAGACTAGGCTTTTTGCCTGCATTATTTTCAGTTTTCTTGTCAAAGATTAGTTGAGTATACATGTGAGGGCTTCCTTCTGGTGTTTCTGTTCTGTTCCACTGATCTTCTCTGTTTCTGTGCCAGTTCAGACTGTTTTGATGCCCACTGCTCTGTAGTGTGTTTTGAGGTCTGAGATTGTGACTCCTCCAGCTTGATTTTTATTTTTCAGGATAGCTTTGGCTATTCATGGTCTTTTGTGCTTCCAAATTAACTTTTGTATCATCTTTTCTATTTCTGAGAGGAATGTTGTTGGGATTTTGATTGTGATTGCGTTGAATCTGTATATTGGTTTTGGTAATATGGTCATTTTGGTGTTGATCCTGCCAATCCCGGAACATGGTAAGTTTCTCCATTTTTCAAGGTCTTCTTCCATTTCCTTTTTAAATGTGTAATAGTTTTTGTTGTAGAGGTCTTCCACATATTTAGTTAGCTTAATTCCTAGGTAGTTTAGATTGCTCTCCTCTATTTTAAAGGGGACTGTACTTACAATTTCTTTGTCGCCCATGGAATTATTTGTGTATACTAGTGCCATCGACTTGTGTTCATTAATTTTGTATCCTGCTACTCTGCCAACGTCTCTTATGAGTTCCAGTAGTGTCTTGATTGAGTCTTTTGACTTTCCTATGTAGAGAATCATGTCATCTGCAAATAGAGATAATTTCAGTTCCTTGTTTGCAATTTGGATTTTTTTAATTGCTTCTTCTTGCCTAATAGCTCTGGCAAGGACTTCCAATACTATATTTAAGAGTAGTGGTGACAGTGGACATCCCTGCCTAGTTCCAGATTTTAGTGGGAAGGCTTTCACTCTTTCTCCATTTAGTATGATGCTGCATTGGATTTTTTTATAAATTGCTTTGATTGTGTTGTAGAATGTTCTTTCTGTGTCTATCTTGCTTAGGGTTTTCAGCATGAAGTGGTGTTAGATTTTGTCAGATGCCTTCTCTGCATCTATTGAGATGATCATACGGTTTTTATTTTTCATTTTATTCATGTGATGTATCACATTTATTGATCTGCAGATGTTGCACCATCCCTGCATAGCTGGGATGAATCCCACCTGGTCCAGGTGAATGATCTGCCTGATGTACTGTTGGATCCTGTTGGCTAGTATTTTATTGAGGATCTTTGCATCTATGTTCATCAAGGATATCGGTCTGTAATTCTCTTTTTCTGTTGTGTCTCTATCTGGCTTTGGTATTAAGGTGATATTAGCTTCATAGAAAGATTTTGGAAGGATTACCTCTCTTTCTGTTGTTTAGAAAGGCTTGTGGAGGATTGGTAAGTTCCTCTTGAAACGTTTGGTAGAATTCACCAGTGAAGTCATCTGGTCCAGGACTTTTCTTTGTTGGGAGGGCGTTAATTACTTTTGATTACTGATTCCATCTCAGTGTGTGTTATAGATCTATTTAGGCTAAAGTCCTCGCTTTGAACACGCCAGGATCCATATGGGTGCCGGTTCTAATCCTGGCAGCCCCACTTCCCATCCAGCTCCCTGCTTGTGGCCTGAGAAAGCAGTCAAGGACGGCCCAAAGCCTTGGGACCCTCATCCTCGTGGGAGACCTGGAGAAGTTCCAGGCTCCTGGCTTTGGATCAGTGCAGCACTGGCCATTGTGGTCCCTTGGGGGGTGAATCATCAGATGGAAAGATCTTCCTCTCTGTATATCTGACTTTGCAGTAAAAATAAATAAATCTAAAAAAGCGGAATGCTGAGTGCTTGGATGAGTTAGCACATGTGCTTTGATTATACTTTTTATTTTATGTAACTTCTTTTGATGGTTCAAAGGAGAATTGAAGATTCATGTGGTTTAATTATGCTTCTAAATAGGTGATTTTGTTTTTTTTCGTAGATTCAGGTAAAAAAACAGCGGAGAGAAACAAAAGACAAGAAAAATGAAGGCTTTTTAAAGGAACAGCTTTCCTGTTATGAAAGTTGTGAAAGTTCTATAAGGTTAGTGCTTATCTTTACAAGTGAGACTCAGCATTAGTTATCAGATCCCGACCAGCACACAAGGTGAGTGCCCCAGTCCCCAGCACACAGGAGTGTCCTGAGAAGAACATGCAGGTATGGCTTACATGTATTCAGTTGCTTCTTTGAAAGAAATTGGAAATTTAGGGAAGGATCAACTGAAATCTCAGATTATACTGGGAGTGCTATTCTGTCTTTGCTAAAATGAATTTTTCCTCCAATGATTTTTCCTTATGTGATCCAAAGTTTCTGAATTGTTAAATGCCCGCCCCCCTTCTGTCTCCCCTGCACAAGGCAGTGACAGGTAGTGACAAGGTGACTGGTGCTCTCAGACCCCGCCTGAAGGAGCGGTGATGGGAAGCATGGCAGTGGGATGTAGCCGAGGGTTCTTCCAGGAGTCCCAGCGGAAGCTCCTCGCCCTTCCCGGCTTGCTTGGGTTGCCACAGGCACTGATGTTTAAAAACTTTGCTGTGTAGTTTCTGATGTTAAAATCCCCACTTTAACACATTTCTCCAGAAATACAGGGCTTCTTCATACTTTTGTTTAATAGATATTTAGCATACTGTTTTGAACTAAATGGAATATAGGTAGTGTACTGGAAATTGATGTTAGTACTTAACTTAATATACTTAAAATGTGTCTTTTTTGATCTGTAATGTTTTAGGGCTAGCTACCATAGGTCTCCATTCTCCCAGCTACTTGCTTTTAAAGATAGGCTTGGAGAGTTGTCCAGTTTGATCTGCCCTCCTTCCTCTGCCGTGGGGCTAGACATCCTCTACTGGCCTCAGTGAGCTGTCATGTCGCCCATGTGGCATCTAGGCATGCCGTCCACTGCACTGACTTCAGCAGCCTAGGAGGCCCAGTTCACTCACATGCACAAGGTTAGACCAAAGATCCTGTGATATCCCCTGTGGTTTGAGTTCTGCATCCAGTGGTCCAGTTGATGGTGGAGTACCCAGAAAACCTTACCTGAGGTGACCCCACCTGCCTCCTGTGTATACCAGCCAGTACGAGGTCCATTCCAGTGCATCACCCATATCAGTCAACACACACTGCTGGTTGCAGTTGCCGGGTTATTTCTGTCCACAGCCCCATCTCAGTTGCAAACGGTGATGCTGTGTCCCAGCCCCCCTGTCCACTACACACTTGGTCCTCAGGCACACCATAGTTAGGGTGACCCCCATGAACCTCCACCAAGCCATCTCCAGCCTTGGCTCCTGCCCATGACAGTATGTGCAACAGACTCGTTGGATCTGTCCACATCCCGTTTGGCTCTTGTACACATCAATGGGTGCTGCCACCTAGCTCAGTCCAGGTAACCCCATTACCCAGACCACACCTATGCTGGCAGGTGTTGCCACTTTTCCAGCCAGGTGCACCCCCATCCCTGGTTCTCCTGCTCACCAATGGGAGCTGCAGCTTATTAGAAGGGTGCCCACTCCCAGCCCAGGATTTTGCACTTTCCAGATGGTTCTGCAGTCTAGCTTGACAGGACTTCCCATTGCTGCCGTTTGCCAGTTAAAGTTGTGGCAGAGCCCAGCCAGCCTGCCCTTACTCTGGCTCTGGATGCACCCGTAAATATAGTCGGTTAGTCTAGCTTGGCTCTCCCCCTAACCCAGTCCATATTAGGCCAGTGGGTGTTGTAGGCCAGCCTGGCCTGGTTTGCCCTCAGCCCTCAGTCCCAATTCTCTTGGCCCTTCCGCTCACACTCCCCCCCCCCCCCCCGATACTCCCGCCCTGAGAGGTCTTGTATGTATTGGTGGGAGCTGCGGGCAGTCTGGCATAGCCTGTCTCACCTTGGCATTTAGCAGTGGGTCCTGTAGTCTAGTCTAGGCCAGCCAGCCCCCAGTCTGGCCCCAATGTGAACTGACCGGTGTTGGCAGCCCAAGCCAGCCTGTCCTGCACCCTGCCCTGGTTGCTCTGACCCAGCCTGGCATAGCCCATTCACTGTCTTGGCCTTTGCCATCAGATGCTGCAGCCTGCCCTGGCCTGGGCTGACACATGTCTCAACTCGCGCTGGTGGGTGTGCAGTTTAGCCCAATTGCTAGCATTGGACCAGGCCACAGTCAGGAAGAACTAGGAATTCCATGGGGGCTCCCAATTGAGTGACAGGAATCCAAGCATTTCAGCCATTATCCGCTGCTTCCCAGGCGCAAACACGGGAAGCTGGGTTGGAAGTGGAGTGTCTGGGACTAAATGCTGCACTTTGATTTGAGTTGTGCACGTCACAGGTGGCCTAACCATTGTGACCCAACCCCCACCGCTCTTGGGAGGATTTTCTGATGTCCCTTTTAGAAACAGTAGTAGCTGTTTAGTTGCTTTTCTTTGTTTCCTTCCTTCCTTTCTTCTGCTTTTTCCCCCCCTTCTTTTTTTTTTTTAAAGATTTATTTTTAAATTTTTTGTTGGGAAAGCAGATATACAGAGAGAAGGAGATGCAGAGAGAAAGATCTTCTAGTGGCTAGTTCACTCCCCAAGTGATTGCAACAGCTGAAGTTGAACCAGTCTGAAGCCAGGAGCCTCCCACGTGACTGTGGGGTGTCAAGGCGTTGGGCCATCCTCTATTGTTTTCCCAGGCCACAAAGCAGAAAGCTGGATGGGAAGCAGGGCAGTTGGGATATAAACTGGTGCACATGTGGGATCCAGGCAGATGCAAAGGGAGGATTTAGCCACTAGGCTACCGTTCCAGGCCCCAGCAGCTCTTTTGCTGTTTCTTCTGGGCTCAGTACTGACCTGGCAGCCACACTCAGCAATGCTTAAACACTCGGATTTGGGCCAGCTGCTTGGGACACCTTCAGCCCGTGTTAGAGTTCCTTTGGCATCCTGGTCTGCCTGTCTGCCAGTGCATTTGGGAAACAGCAGATGGCCAGTGCCTGGTGCTGACCACAAGAGACCAGAAGGGTTTCCTGAGTGGTGCCTTCAGCCTGGTTGCGATAGCCATTTCAGAACTGAACCTGCAGGTGGGAGACTTCTCTTTGTCTCCCTCTTTGCCACTCTGCCTTAATATAACAAAAAGGTTAAAAGAGATGCAGAGTTTTAAGAAATATTCAATAAAAGAAGGCAAAGAAAGCAGAATTGGTAGATATCAGGAAAAAAAAGTAAAGATAGGTAATTGTTCATAGACCAAGGTGGTAAAACTCATGTTAAATTCTGGCTGACATTCTAATGTCTGCTGGGAGCTTGTGGAAGTGTTAATTAGACCATTGACCATGCTTTCAGGATAGTTAATAAAATGCATGTGTATAAGATACTGTTTGGATGGATAAGTAATCTAAAGCCAGTGAACAAAATTAACATTTTCTCTTAATATCAATTTTTTTTGATGTTTACAGGGGAGGAATCTCTGGAAAGGAAGGTGTCCTGACTGCAGGAGATCATGGCTTGAGTGTGACACACGGTAAGGGTCTTTTTGCTCGTGTTTCCACCTTTTCCTGGTTTTGAGTTGAGTGGTTGCACCAGAGCTTCAGTAGTGACACGCTGGCTTGCAGAATAGTAGAGCACAGAACGTGGTGGAGAGTCCTGGGCAGTGTTTATTTGTGTCTAAACTTGAGTTTCCTGGGATCATTTGCTGTTGCTCAGCTGGGTGGAAGGTGTGTGTGTTTCTGGGAGTGGAGTGGCATTCTCCCAGTTGGCGTGCTTGGTGTTTGGCACCCTGACTGTTGCTGACCTCCCACTCAGTATGAGCACCCGGAGGAGGAGCTGCAGTGCCTCTAGGCCAGTGGCTTGTAGCAAGGGAAATCTGTAGCAACACGACATTAACCTCAAAATTCTAGGAGCTAGTAGTGGTTTGACCCTAGAACTGCACTTCTGAGTGGAAACTTTGTTTGCAAATGAAGTGCTTCTGACGTACTCCACCAGCAGATAAATCCCTCTGTGAGCCCAGGTATGGTTTGTGGCGAGGCCTGGGCAGAAGCCCCTGCGTCTGCTGAGGCTGCGCTTGGTTCTCGGCTGAGCAGCACTTTCCTTAGAGCTGTTGGTTAGCCGGGAGGTGAGTGTCTGAGGTCCAGGCCAGCTTAGAGGACTTTAGGGGTAGATAAACTAGTGGTTAGCTAGTGAACTAGAAAAGAGTCATGCATTTACTGTATTTAAAAGTAAATACCTTTTTTATGCATGTTGAACATCAGATTGGGTTTGTTGGTTGCTTCTTCGGATTGGTACTAACAAGATCTGGGCTTTGAGTCACAAATTATTAAGTGTAAATTACCTTTGATAGTTTTCTGTTACATTGGAATTGAATTAAATATCATTTTGTTTTGATCTCTGTACTGAAATAATTAAAAGAATGTTCCTTTTGTTAACAATTCTGGACGCAGACGGCCTTTGTTCTCACTCTGTGCTGACTGGTCACCCTTTCCTGCTGAGAGCCTCTGCTTGGGGATTCGCCATCTGATACAGGATCCTGGGAAGACAGATTTACAGAGAGATCCTTCATGCACTGGTTCAACTCCCAAGTGGTGCAAAGGCTGGAGCTGAGCCGAGCTGAAGTGAGGATCTTCTTCCAGGTCTCCCACATGGGTGCAGCGTCCCAAGGCTTTGGGCCGTCCGCGACTGCTTTCTCAGGCCACAAGCAGGGAGCTTCGTGGGAAGTGGAGCAGCTGGGACTTGAACTGGTGTCCATGTGGGATCCTTGGCGCTTGAAGAGAGAGGACTAGTTAATTGTGCCATTGTGCTGGGCCCATGACTGACTGTTGTGGTAGATAAAATTCTATTATAAATTTTCTGTAGAGAAGGTTGGCGTAATCTCATTTATTAATATGAGTTTACCACCACAGTGGTTTTTTAATTCTGTATCTCTGTTCTGGTCTTGATTTTAGAAAGTAAAGCAGCAGATTAGTAGAGGCCATTTCTAAGAATGTATGATTCTTTCTGAGTTGAGGTTTTCTTTTACTTAGAAAAATAAATGACATCTGAAGCCACGTTAAGACATTCTACAGGATGCCTTAAGCCAATTTAAGATTGGATAGCTGGGGCCCGGTGCAGTGGCCTAGTGGCTAAAGTCCTCACCTTGAATGTGTCAGGATCCCATGTGGCCACCGGTTCTAATCCTGGCAGCCCCTCTTCCCATCCAGCTCTCTGCTTGCAGCCTGGGAAAATAATCGAGGACAGCTCATAACCTTGGGACCCTGCACCTGTGTGGGAGACCCAGGAGTGGCTCCTGACTCCTGGCTCTGGATTGACTCAGCTCCAGCCATTGTGGTTGCTTGGGGAGTGAATCAGTGGATGGAAGATCTTCCCCTCTGTCTTTCCTCTCTGTATATCTGACTTCCCAATAAAAATAAATAAATCTTTAAAAAGAGTGACTGAATAGCTAAGTTAAACTTTTCTAATTAAAAGGTTAACATTGTGTAAGGCCTGTCTGCTTAAGCTGCTTGCAGTCCTCTGTGCCTGTGGGTCTGAAAGGACTCCGAGAAATCCCTCCGCGCGTGGAACAGCCCAGTGAGCTGACAGTGTGAAGAAAAACAGCCCCTCAGTCCTGAACTTCTCCCGAGGTCACGGTGTCTCCTAGGAAAAGCTGGACGGTGTTGATGATAATTTATGTGGATTTCTGTGTGCTTTTGGTGACAAGGTGGCTAAAGGTCAAGCAGAATGGCAGAAAATGTTAACTAGAATTTGAGACTTCCAGTGTCTGGGTGCTACAGTCCCTCATCCTCCTCCATGGCAGACTCGCCCTTTCGTTGTAGTTTAGGTATAACAAGATAAGATGGGAGACTTTCACAGTGTGTAGGTGCAGATCCCACTCTGAGATGCAGCTGTGTGCGTGCTCGGTCCCAGCTGGGAACGGTGTTGCTGGCAGGTAACCAGGTCCTTCTGTGTTTGTGCAGGAGCCTCTCCACACGGTGACGCAGGAGCCAAGAAGCCTGTGCGGGCAAAGGTGAGTGAGGTTTCCAGTACCTGACTGGGTGCCTCGGCGTTTCACAGTGCCGCGTGACTCTCGGGCGCATGCTCTGGAGGCGTTTCCTTGGCTCTCTCTTTAATTGTGTCTTGCTTTGCTAGCTGCGACGAACAGGTCAGTGTGGAAGTTTCCGGAATTGTGTCTCCGGTGTCTTCTCTTGGGATGGTCGCATTGCAGAGGCTCCTCTTACCCACCTGGCCTGCTGGTTAGTACTGTCTACTTTCGAGAGATACAGTTAACACTTGAGCTTTCAGCATTTTAGTTAGATTTTGGTGGAAATTTAAATTTGGGTTTCCAAGAAAATTATGAAGCCCACTCTTCCGCCTCCCCCTGTCCTGGTGTTTAAACTCGTGTGCTTGGTTTGTGGAACAGAAACTAACTGCAGACAGAGCTGGCTGCTGCTTTCAGTGACTGCCTCCGCACCGAGCTTTGTCTTGTGAAAGTTCTAAAGAAGCTTTGTGCGCTGGACGGAAGGCGGGGCCTTCACAGTGAGGGGGTCGTGTAGACGGAATCTGGAAATCACAGTTAGTTGAACCAACCAGTCAGAATAAAATGATGTGGTTAGGTTTTAGAGCTTGACAGGGTAGCAGGGAACCCATCCTAGTTACTTAGCCTTTTGAAAAGCCATTAGAGCCATTTTCTGGTTGAACTAAGTGTGCCCTGCCTTAGTGTTACTTTTTGCAGCTGTAATTTCTCTCAAACTCTTAATCTGAAATAACTTTTGAAATTTCAGTTATTTCAATAAATCTAATTTTCTGATATAAAAATGTCACTTATTTTAAGAATGCATTGATTATGAAAGTGTTTAAGTAAACACGTGCTCGCGGGAAACTGCTGTTCTTGATGTGAACCCAATGTCAGTCAGAAATATTGGGTGTTCTCATGGCGTTGCACAATTCGTCTTTTAGTACAGAATTGATAGAAGTCAGCGAAGTCAGTGAAGTGATAAGGCACAAGAGACGAGAGCTGGGGCTGTCGTGGTTTCCTGATGCAGTCCTTGGAACTGGAAGGTGAGAGAAATGAAAGTGTTAATTTGCTAATATGACACCTCATTTTCAGTGTGTTCCTCCTTAGAGCCGTACAAGTCATACAGAGTTCTGATGTTTGACGTGCCCAGGGAAGCACCCCATAGCGTGTTTCCTTGTGCAGGTGTTTCTGTGCTGGACTGAGTCAAAGGACAACACTGGACACCAGGGCCTGTCCTGACTGGGCACCCCATTTGCCCACTGCTCTGCCTGCAGGGCTTGTCCTGACCGGGCACCCCCATGTGCCCACTGCTCTGCCTGCACAAGTTCAGTGGTGCCGAGACCTCGCCAAGCCCCACCTATATCCACTCTGCTCTTGGGGTGACCTGTGTCCTGGATTCTAGTGTAGTCTGGCACACCCCAGACCCAGTCCACACCCATGCCAGCGTGTACTTCAGTCATGTCTAACCCTGTTTGTCGCCCTCGTTTTGGCGTTTGTGCTCACCAGTGGGAGCCACAACCCAGCCAGGATATCTTTGTTGTTGTGCCTGGCCTACCTCCCCCGGAACTAAACCAGACACCCTTGCTGACGGTGGAGCTGCCTTGGTCAACACGCAGGCCCGAATCACATCGCTACAGTGCTGTCTATAGCCCACCAGGGGAGTTCCCCAAGGTTCTCCTCCAGGCCCACTCCCAGACCCCATTTTCACATGCGCCAGCAGGTGCCTGGGCCCTGCCCAGCCTTCGTGCGAGCTGATGGGTGTTTTGGCCCAGCCTTTCCCACACCCTGTTTTTGGGGTGCACTTGCAGTTGCTGCTGCCTGACCTAGCCGGCCTTTTTCAAATCCAGTCCGCATGAGTGTGTGTGTGTTTTGGGGGAGGGGGAAACGCGGGTTTCTGTGGTCATGCCTAGCTCAGCCCATCAACACCCTCAGCTCTTAAGGTAAGCAGTGCAAATTACAGTTCCACAGGGATGAGCCCACATATCCCTGACAGAATCTGCCCCTGGACTTGGTCCTCTCACATGCTGGTTAGTGTCGTGGCCCAGCCCAACGTGACCTGACCCCTTGTTCTGACACTCACTGGTGGATACTGTGATGTAGCCGTGCCAGGCAGGCAGCTAGTCCTAGCTTGAGTGTGTCTGGTGGGTGGTGGTCACTGGTGGTCAGTACTAACTAGGTCAGCTCAGGTTTCCCATGTGGGCGGGTGCATTGATTTGACCCAGAAAGGTCCTCCAGGTTCCCTCCTCGAAAGGGCTCAGACTTGGCACCCTTGCTTACCTGCAGGTACAGTGGCCTTATTGATGCAAGGCATCTGGAAGTCATTCCTTACCTGCAACATACTCCATCAGTGGTCCTCCGCTCTCCCACACACTTATGCCCTCTCCCCTGCTTAATCCACAGTCCCTGCGGCCGAGAGTGCGTGGGTTCCCCAGCCCAGTCTTCCGGTAGGTTGGCATGCTTGCCAGGAGATCTGCCTGCCCACTAGGAACCCAAGTTCCTGGCACATGTTCTGTCCACCCAAGATCCCAGGCCAGCATACTAACCTAGGCCTCTCACCTGGTATCAGGCACATGTGGAAACCCCCTGGCTGGCTCTGCTTGCTTGACCATGAACCCCAGGCCCCTGCAAAGCCTCACTCCCAAGCCCCCAGAACTCGCCCGTGCTGATGGAAGCCCACTCATTGATTTTCAATCTTTCCCAGAACCTTATCTTATTCTGAATGAAGTAGCTATTGTTAGGAGTCCTAAACTGAGCAGAGAGGACTTGAAGGAGCTGACACAGGCAGCAGGTGGGAATGCAGAAATTGTGGAGGATTGTCCACAGGCCTGTCCAGACGCAGGGCGCTTTAAAGGGCCTCCATCCTCAGAATAAGGAATTCTTGCGAGACAGACAGCACAGGCTTTGCTGGTGACTCTCGGGTCACCTGGAGACGGGCAGAGGATGTGGAAGTGGGGGATGCTCTCTGGGCAAGTTGCTGGGTCCTCATTCAAGAAGGGGCTGCAGCAGATGTGCACGCAGAGACCAAGCTGGGTTTTTATACAGTGGTGGTGATGGGAATGGAAGGTGCAGCAGCCCCGGTCCTGCTTGCGGTGGCCGTCCCTCTGCCTGTTCTCAGGCCTGGCTCTGCCGTGGCTTTCCCATCCCGTGTGTGCACAGCCAGAACGGCAGCAGGCATGGCTCTGTTCCTGGGCTCCCTACTGCCTTGTTACAGGCCCAACTTGAGTTCCGGACTCCTGGTTCTGCCCTCAGTAGCTCCCAAATGTTGTGAGGGGTGGAAAAGCTCTGACTCTGCTTTTTTAATAAATAAAAAAGGAATGAATGAGTGAAAACTTCTTAACAAAAACATTGCTTACCCGCAAGTACAGTGATCTTGTCTATGGAAATCCCCTAGAAGTCATTCCTCACGATTTAAATTGTAGTATTTAAAACAGAAACATTTCTTTGTATCAGATTATCCTCATGTGTTTGCCAATATTTTATCAGAGAAACATGCTTAAACAATTTTTTTCAAGGCTGTTATTTGGTGTGGCGTTTGACCCCCCCCATGTCTCGTATTGGAGTGCCTGCATTCCGTTTCCGGCTCTGGCTCTCATTTCTGGCTTTCTGCTAGCACACACTGTGCCGGAAGTCAGGATGGCTTAAGGAGCAGCAGGTGGGAGTCCGAGCCCAGGCCGCAGCCCGATCTGCCAGTGGCAGTTGAGTCAAGCAGATGGGAGCTGTCCGTCTGCTTCTGGCTTTGTTTTTACGTATGTGTCTCCTTGCCTGTCAAAGCAGTCAGTATGTAACTTTGTTTGGTAGCCATCTTTAAATCATTAATAACCTGGAATTGACTTTTTAGGTACTTGGGGTGTGCTTCATATTTTTAACCTATTTTGGAGAATTGATTATTTTATAAATTGCTGATTTTTCTTGGCCATTTAGACAGAAATGTCTGTATTTTGTTTTGTGTTTTCAGAATTGGCTTTACACCTTGGAGTACTGAGACAGGAACCCTTCCTGTCATTTCCTCCTTATTGCCAAGAGCTGTGCTTCCAGCACGTCCCACTTCTTTTGAAAATTTTGGTAAGCGTAATGAAATAATTTTTTTTAATTGTTGCTACTGATTTTATAAAAGAAGAGTATTAAAAACTGTAAAATAAGGTATAGTAGTTCCTAGTTATTTTGATAAATACTTACACAATTTAAAAATTGTTCTGAGTATATTCATGGATTGGAATATTATCAATCAAGAAAAGAAGGAGATCCTATCACTTGGTGAGCATGGATGAACCCGGTAGTGTGATGTGAGCCAGGCGCAAGAAGCGGGGCAGAGTGTTGTGTTCCCTGGTTGTGGCCGGTCAGACTTGCTCTTGCAGAAGTCCGGGGGGGAAGGTGCTTGCCTTACCTTGGGAGTTAGGGCTGGTCCTGGAAGGGGTGCTGGTCAGCGGACGCAGCCGGGGCTGAGTCGGAGAGCTCTGCCGTGTGGCGTGGGCACTGTGGGTAGATAGCCATGTGTAGAGCGGAGACATTACACACTGGAGACCCAGAGTTGGCACTTCCACCATGGTATGTGCTAGAACATCCTACTGTACACAGAAAATGCATACCATTTTATTATGGATCAAATAATTGATAAAACATGGTTGTGACTAGGAAGTGCATTGTGCAGAGTTGGCAGGCTCAGGCTGTAAGGAACTGTACGGGCGTCTTTCTGATGAAGGCCCGCAGAGCCAAGCCATAAGAACTCTCAGTGTAACATCAGTTAAGGAAATATGGACAGGTGGTTTGAGTCCTTTTCATGGACAAACTTGACAGTTTTTTCTTTTGCCTAACAAGGAGCAGTTATCGGCTCTGGTCAGTTCCTTTAAGTTCCAGGCAACGTGGGCTGTTTACCAGTTCCTTCCTTATTGTAGGGCACTGCTGACGCTGCTGAGAAATGTCAGTAGTTGTGCATGCTGCATAGTTTGATTCTCAAGTATCTTGTTTCACTCTGTTGTAGATACTATTTTATGCTGAAATTAGTTAATTCAAAAATATTAGCTAATCCAAGCTATTATTTGATCCTGCAAATGAAAAGGACAGTAAAGCACATTAAAAATAATTTTTAAAATATTATTAGATTTTTCTTGCAAAGGATATGCGTTAGCGCAGACCCAGGAAGGAGAAGAAAAGAAGCAAGCTTCCGGTGCGGCGACCACGAGAGGGTCGAGACGGAGGTCTGCAGGAGCGACGCCCACGAGGAGGTCTACACGGAACACTCGCGTGGACACAGTCAGCTCCTCCCAGAAGTCTCCTGTGTCCAGTGGCTCTGGCTGCGATGCCCCAGGCGGCAGTGATCCTCCCGTCAGGGCGTCCCCTGCAGCCGAGTCTGAAAAGCCAGCGAGGCAGGCTGCAAAACGGAAGCCCGTCAGGAGGGCACGGAAGGCTCCTCTTTTGAAGAAGAAGCTTCGGAGCTCTGCCCCTCCTCCTGAAGAACCAGCTTCGGGGGACTCAGTGGATGAAGAAACAGCAGAGCCAGCTGTACCACCTGTGCCGGAGAGAGAAGCCCCGTCCGATGCGGAGGCGAGTGCCAGTGCTGAGCAGGCACAGGCAGACGGCCAGGCTGCTGAAGGCTTGAAAAGCCCCAGGGAGCCAGTGGAGGGCTGCGAGGACCGTGCCGAGCACTGTGACGCCCAGGAGCAGGCAGAGTGTGCACAGGCAGACGGCCAGGCTGCTGAAGGCTTGAAAAGCCCCAGGGAGCCAGTGGAGGGCTGCGAGGAACGTGCCGAGCACTGTGACGCCCAGGAGCAGGCAGAGTGTGCACAGGCAGACGGCCAGGCTGCTGAAGGCTTGAAAAGCCCCAGGGAGCCAGTGGAGGGCTGCGAGGACCGTGCCGAGCCCTGTGACGCCCAGGAGCAGGCAGAGTGTGCACAGGCCACAGCATGTGCAGCAGATCCTGGGGAGGACCTGATGACACCTGCCCGAGGAGGTGAAGAGGCTGCCGTTGAGTGTTCAGAAAGTGGGATGTCTCCCTGTCCAGTTGCGGAAGGAGACGATGCACTGGAAAGTCAAGAGCTGGCAACTGCACCATCTGCCACTCGGCCCGAAGACGGCTGTGCGCCCTCGCAGGTTCCAGGGGAAGGCCAGCAGCCCGTGTCTGCTCCTGAGGACACAGGGCTACCGAGTGCTTTGCTGAGTGCTGTTGATCGGGAGGACCCCCCAGGGAAACCAGAAGAGCTGGAGAAGCCTGTGGGAGTGTCTGCAGAGGAAGAAGTCACACAGGCAGGGGACCCAGAGTCTGGCGAGAGCCTGGGGGGTCCCTTGGTGGCGCGCACAGAAAGTGGAGATGCCGGAATAACCTCAGCCGATGATGCGCCAGAGAGCGAAGGTTCTCGTACTATGCAGGAGTCTGAGAATTCGTTACAGAATCATCCTAATGCTGAACTGGACACGTCTTCAAAAGAAAAGGCTGAGCCTGTGGCTGAGGCTCCGCCACGTGTGCAGCCGCCTGCCATGGGCGGGGAGGAGACCAACGAGGTGGTGCCCCGGGGCTGTGACTTGCTTTGCAGTGACCGCACTGAGTCTGAAACTGAGCCTTCGATAGATGTTGATCATAAGCAGCTGAGTGAGGAATGTGTGGCACACGGTTCTGGAAATGACCTGCCACCTTCTGATGCTGCCAGTGACAAGGCTGACAGAGTGTCTCAGCCGGCCGGGAGCCCTGTAGAGGCAGCAGCGAAGGCCAGAAAAGCCCGTGCTCGTAGGTCCAGGTTCCATTCCCCATCCACCACGTGGTCTCCCAGCAGAGATACTGCCCAAGAAAAGAAACGCGTGCAGTCCCCTTCTCCCAAGAGAGAAACGGAGAGAGAGGACAGGGCGTGTCCGTCACTGTCTCCTCAGAAAGAGTCTGCCAGGGGGCGTAGGAAATCTCGCTCTCACTCCCCAGAAAAGGGTGTGTCCAGAGAAAGACGGCACTCTCCGTCTCCAAAGACAGAGAGTGCTCGGGAAGGCAAGAGGCCTGGCTCCGCGTCCCCGTCCCCGAGAAGGGATCCTTGCAGGGAGAGCGGGCGCTCTCGGTCCAAAGGGAAAGACTCCTCCTCCAGGGAGAAGTCCAGGTCCCGCAGCAGGGAGAGAGAAAGAGGCAGCAGAAGGTGGTCCAGATCCCGTTCGCGGTCGCCGTCAAGATCCAGAACAAAGAGGAAGGGCTCCTTGTCCGGGAGGAACGACAGACACGGCTACTCTCCCCGGTGGAAAGACAGGTGGGCCGGTGATGGCTGGCGATGCCCACGAGGCAGTGGTCGGTACAGAAAGGACGATCCCGAGAAGCAGAGAGAAAATATGAGGAAAGAAAGAAACGAGCTCAACCCAGGAGTTGATGATCCAAGTTGTCCTGTCAAAGTTAGGAATGACCCCAGCTGGGTGACAGAAAAAATAAACTCTAGGCCTGATCCTAGGACCAGACACCCAGAGAAGTCACAGGAGTTTCACTGGGAAGAGAGTAGGAGTGAAAATTCTGGGAGTTCATGGAACAGAAACTTTGGTTCCGGTTGGATGTGTAACCGGGGAAGGGGCCACCGGGGCAGAGGCACTCACCGAGGCCATTTTGCTCACACAGATCAGAGTGAAAACAGGTGGCAGAGTCGGAAGCCCCTCTCAGGGAGTTCAAACAGTTCAGGGGACGAGTCTTTCAGATTTGCAGATCAGCAGTCCTATAAGCGGAAAAGCGAGCCGGAGTTCTCATTTGACACACCGGCAGACAGGTCCGGATGGACGTCCGCGTCCAGCTGGGCCGTGCGGAAGACACTGCCCGCAGATGTTCAGAACTATTACTCCCGGCGTGGGAGGAGTGCCTCGGGCTCGCAGTCGACATGGATACGACAGGAGGAGGGAACAGCAGACCAGGGTAAGGTTATTCTCTGCCCATGGTGCAGTGGGTGTGTGCGTGGAAGTGGTAGTTAACCTGTAGTGTCACGCCCCCTGCTTCCCAGTCTTGGATCCTGGCTCTTGTCCCCATCTTGGCACGCCCTGAGGGCAGCTGTGATAGCTTCATCTTGGGGCTCATGTCACCCCCATTAGAGACCTGAATTGATGGAGGAGTGAGTGGCAGTGGATGGGAATGCCAGAGTGGGTGCTGTTGTCCTGCCTTGTGCCTGGCTTATTTGGCATTCAGGGAATGAGTAAGTGCTAGAAAAACTCTGTCATTCGGCCTTTCAGATATAATGAGAATATAATAAAATTACGCAACCTGAACCCCTACTGACTGCAGGTCAGGGTGTGTCATGTGGGTCAGTGTACACCGCAGGTCAGGGTGTGTCATGTGGGTCAGGGTGTGTCATGTGGGTCAGGGTGTGTCATGTGGGTCAGGGTGTATCATGTGGGTCAGTGTACACTGCAGGTCAGGGTGTGTCATGTGGGTCAGGGTATGTCATGTGGGTCGGTGTACACTGCAGGTCAGGGTGTGTCATGTGGGTCAGGGTGTGTTATGTGGGTCAGGGTGTGTCATGTGGGTCAGGGTGTGTCATGTGGGTCAGTGTACACTGCAGGTCAGGGTGTGTCATGTGGGTCAGTGTACACTGCAGGTCAGGGTGTGTCATGTGGGTCGGTGTACACCGCAGGTCAGGGTGTGTCATGTGGGTCGGTGTAGACACTTGTGTCTTCTTGGCCTAACTCTGGTTGTCACATTCTAAAGTCTCTTCTGTTTTTATGACAGAAGTGATGACTGAGACGCTTCTGTGTGATTAAAGACTCTGTGTTACTTTGACCTGTTAAAGTGCTGATTGCAGAGGTTGATCATGTTGGCGGATGGTCTGGTTAGAAGAGTGTTGCTTGTGACTAAGAAGTGGCCGGAATCGGTGCAGCGATGCAGGCGTGTGGCCGAGCCCCTCTTGAGCATGAGCAGTGCTGCTTCTCTGCCGACAGAGATGGACCGTGTGTTCACGAGCCTCTTTCCTTTTGCTAGATTGTAACCTCAAAGACCAAACAAGCCAGCAAGTGGATGGTTCCCAGCTGCCGCTGACCACGCTGCAGCCGCCCCTGCAGCCGCCCCTGCAGCCGCCCATGAGCATGGTGCAGCCCCAGCCTGTGAACATGTACCCCTACCCTGTGGGGGTCCCGGCTCCTCTGCTGGGCATGCAGCGCGGCCCCTTCCCCATGCACCCACAGCTGCCGGTGCACATGCATGCCGGGGTTCCTCTGCTGCAGGTGGCCACTCCTGCCGTTGCATCTCAGGGACCACCCCCGCCCCCGCCCCCGCCCCCGCCGGCTCAGCAGGTCAGCTACGCGGCTCCCCAGCCCGAGGGGAAGCAGCTGCAGGTATGTCTCCCGTGGGCTCACAGGGTTTTGTTTTGCATCGAGGGCCTTCCCTGCATCCAGTGGCTGTGGGGTCATGTTCCCTTTGCCCTCCTTCCACAGAAGAAACCACGAGGCCCATCCCAAGGCCGTGCTCCCTGGCTCTTGTCCCACCCATACTGTTCTTGTCCGATGAAGAAGAGCAAAGCCTTGAGCCAGCCGGACTCCAGGGGGGCTTACCTTTCTCACGGGCTTTTGGGCAAGGTGGGGTGGTGGTGGGCGACAGCCTCGTGGAGAGCGCTGTGCTCGGCTGCACAGGAGGGCAAAGGCCCGACACCTGTCTCCTTGGAGTGTAGGGACCTGTGCCCTGCTCGGCGTAGGTGTGCCCTTCAGGAAGTTCCTGCTTCAGGAGCCAGGAAGCCGGGCTCTAAGGCTTGGCTCTCAGCACCTCCTATGTTGAGTGATGCTTTCCTTGCCTGGAGCAAACAGGGCTTCCGGCGTACTTCTCTCCGGGACGTTACTGGGTGTACTTCACTTCATAGCGATCTTAACATATTTTGGGTTTTAAGGGCATCCCATATTGGAGCCCTGTCTCCGAGCCACTTCCTGCTCGTGCTCCTGAGGAGGCATGGGTGCGGTCCCAGTTACCTGGAGAGGCCTCCATCAATGTCTGGCCCAGCCCTGGCTCTTGCAGCTATGTGAGGAATGAATGACAGGTGACAGATTCTGTCAGTATGCCTTTGAAATCCATAAATTAATCAAATAGCCCTTTTGACGTAAATGTCCTGGAGACTTGCCTCTTTCCTGTGTGCTCAGCGGTCTTTGCGGGTGAGGGTGTAAGCCGTGCACTAACGGACGGTCACTCTGCTGCAGGCTCTTCCCAGTGCGTCTCACGGAAGCACCAACATGGGCGCAGCCGTGCTGCCTGCCCCGCCAGCAGCCCCAGGAAACGTGGGGACGGGCCCGGGCCCGGGTGCTGGTAACACCCCGTCGTCTGGCCACGGCAGGGCCTCTAACGCCGCTGGGAGACTGGCAGACAGCAAAGGAGGTGGCACGGTGGAAGCCAGCGCAGACAGCTCCAAGACAGACAAGGCAGGTGCTGGCGGAGAGCAGCGTCCTCCGTGGCGGACCAGGGCGGGAGCGCCAACTTCCCTTGGCATTCCTGACGCGACTTTGTTGTTGGGATCTTACATGCTATTTCTCTTTTGAAGAATTTTGCCTAGATGCACCACTCAATGAATTACTGGTAATATTTCATAAATTTGGAAGTGATTGCTATGTGTTCATAAGCATTTTATATTTCTCTAATATTTCCAGAGGTCCTTGTAATATCAGTATTCACTGTTTTTCATACTTTTAAAGAAATTTTTTGAAGCTATGTAATTGACAAATAGTGATTACACATTTTCTTCTCATCAGAAATTACAAATTCAAGAAAAAGCTGCACAGGAGGTAAAATTGGCCATTAAGCCATTTTACCAAAATAAAGATATCACGAAGGAAGAGTATAAGGAAATTGTCCGGAAAGCAGTGGATAAAGTAAGTGGCTTCCGCGGCGTGGCCGCCTGCTCTCAGTGACCGCCCCTTCTCAGGAAGGAGGTGTGGGTTTCAGTTGCTGGCGCGTGTCCGCGTGGGAGGGAGGAGAGGACACGGAGCGTGGGCTGTGCCTGTGAGCTCCCTGCGTAATCTCGCCCCTCTTTCCCAGGTGTGTCATAGCAAGAGTGGAGAAGTAAATTCTACAAAAGTGGCAAATCTGGTAAAAGCCTATGTAGACAAATACAAGTATTCACGGAAGGGGAGCCAGAAGCAGACGCTGGAAGAAGCTGTGTCCGCCGAGAAGCACGTGGGCTGAGGGACGCTCAGTCGGACGGCTCAGACTTCTGCCAAGTGCAATTTCAACTCGTACCGCTGGCTGGGAATCAGACGTGCTGTGATTGACATTTGGTTTTGATAAAATTATTTTTTTTAATGTAGGAGATCATGATTTCTTCTAAATAAATACAGTTCTACACTGCAACTTCTCTCTGCTTCCCCCACCCCTGGCGCCCTTCCCACCGCAGGCAGAGCCCGAAGTCGGGGGTGGCGGGGCTGTCGCAGGGACCGTGCGGCTTGGGTGCTGGGAGATGGGCGGCCCTGTGCGCCGGGTGGAGCCCATCAGTAGGAATGGCCCAGTGTGCTGGTTTTGAAAAAGAAATATATATAATACATTTATTCTGTCAGGCTAAGAAATAAATATGATCTTTATGATTCTCTTTTAATTATAGAAAGCAAATGTTGTATTATCATGAAAATATTTCTAAGATGAAGTAGAGTAGCCACTTGCAGGGTCCTGGTGTGTTGTGGGAGTGTGCACCTCAACAGCGGCTGTGGCAGGAAGCAGGATGGTCACAGTGATGCCAGCCCCTCGTGGGCGTCCTGCCGGGCACGGCCCCCGCGGCCCCCAGGGATTGCTGCCTTCTGCCACGGGCAGCCGTTGGTGCTGGATGGCAGTGGGGGCAGTTGGAAGTCTGACGCTTTTGAAGACCAGTTTGAGGAAAGTGGGTAGAGTGACATGTCTGAGATGTCCGGATTGGTGCCGAGTGGCGTTGGGGACTCGGTGTCGGCCTGGGCGGCACAGATGCACGGCTGTCTGCACTGGGGAGATCTCGGGATGTCACACAGTGACATGTCCCAGTGCGGTCCAGCTCGAGAGAATAGGATGTGAAAGGGGAAGATTAAATAGGCTTTCAGGGCCTAACGATGTGTAAAGTGGTGTAGCACCATGTTTTGATTGGCATAATGAAAAAGAAAGATTGCTTCTGTGATAAAGGTTGATTCCAGTAAAACCTGGAGCAGGTTCAGCTCCCGGGTGAGGTCCTAGTTGCTGGGGGCTCACGGGCAGGGGCTTCTGCCTTGTGTGTGGGCTTTTAACAGGTGTGATGTTTTGAAATGCTGTGTGCGTCCGGAGCTTTGTTGGTGCAAGTGCCCAGGCTGGTTCTGTTGGCGCTTCGTGTCTTACCTTGCCGTGGTCTGCTGACATAGATCTTCTTAGTAGAGTTTGTGTTTTGATTTTGGTGGAGAAAGGAGGTGGGGGAACATTAAGACGTCGTTTCAAGGACCAGTCCACACCCCTCAGCAGTCGGTGTGATTGTGTGAACTCGACTGGCTCACATTGCAGGGTTTTGCAGTGATGGCTGCGCCGGAGCCAGTGAGCACCTGGCACTCTTGCACAGTTCCTTCCTCTGACGGTTGAGCTTTTGCAGACGTGGGGAGTGGTCAGCAGATGAAGCCTCACGCCTCCAGGGACGTCCCTTGCGGCCATTTCCCTGCCCCGGTGTGTCCCACAGCTAGCTGGGGCACTTCTCCAACTGCATTTAAAATGGCTAATGACACATGCAATTGGATTATATCTCAAACTTTTTAAACTTCGAAATGTTGAAGAAGGAATTAGAAAAAGCATGCTTTAAAAAGAAACAAATATCATTTTGACATTCCCATTCACTTTTCCTCACAGAAACTTTGAGTAATGTTTGCATGTGCACAAAGCTTACCAAAAACATTTTGTAGGCCTACACATCTCACCTGTGTGTCAGGATTCCCGGGCGTCTTCGCTCTGAAGTGCTGGCCTCGGGCGTCATCGCACGGACCGGAGGCTGTGGAGAGCCGAGAGCTCTGGGCCTGACTAGTTGCCCCCAGTTTCACATTGCAGAAGTGCTGCCCCTTGCCGCGAGGGCGTGCCTGTAAGGCAGTGTGTGCCGCGTGCTCCTGCGCGCCTGGCGCCCAGGCCAGACGCCATGCTCAGGTCTCAAGGCTGGAGTGCTGTCTGCTGAACTGTCTTCTTCAGCCAAATGCAGTGTGTCCTGTTGTGTAATAAATTGTTTTGATGAAGTAGTGTCTAAGATTTTAAGGTTCCCGGGGCCTTTTGCCCCTGCTGTGGCCTGGGCACAGCCAGTGCTCTCCCGCCCCCCAGTGCAGGGCCGCAGCAGCAAGTGGGCTGCAGGGAGAAGGGACCAGAGCCCGGATGGAGAGCTTCCTAATTTTCCTAAGTAGTTTTGGATAGCGTGCTTTAATGACAGTGCAGTGTTGCTTCTCATCAAGACCATCATCTGCTCATGGACATGAAGTTTTATTTTGAATGTAAAATTGACAAAAGAGCACAAATGAGATTGATGTAGAGATCTTTATTTGGGATACTGTGGGGACATTGATTCCTAAAAGTAGACTCTCTTGGTCAGCCACTGGTCATTTTCTCATGAAGTAGTGAAGCCATTTGAGGCGCCCCCTGTTGAACTGGCTTTCCCCCGTGTGGGCGTGCCCACCTGTGCTCCCGCCCGAGGCTGGCACCTTGCACCTGCACAGAGCAGGGACTGCTCTCCTTCATGATGCCTGTGTCTGGTGGCCCTCCGTCGGCAGGTGGAGTTGTCCGAGCAGTGCGTTCACTTGGGGGGTGTTTGGGAGTCCTCAGGTCATGGCCCCCTGCTGACAGCATGCTGGGCTCACTGAGACAGGTGCCATGCGGCCGGTTAACCTTACATAGAGCCCAGCTTGAGTGATTACTGTGGCTGAGGCAGCTGTGGGCTGTGCGTGATGCTGAGGTGATGCGGGCTAGCACGTTCATTTTCAGGAATTGTTGGCTGGGCGGATTATTCTGTAGCTTGGCCCCCTCGATCATGCTCCTTTAATTCCTATCAAAGCGTCTGTAATCAGTTTATTGTTCTCGCTCGGCCTCTGTCTGCCACGTGTGTGCCAAGGTTTCCTTGGCAGTCCGTGTGGCTCCAGCCGCACTCCCACGGCTCAGTCTGAAGTCGTGCGCACCCGTGTGTGGCCTGGAGCCGCCACGGAGCACTGCTGTGGTTGACTCCGCAGACAGGAGCGCCGCAGCGGGATGTGGGAAAACAGGTGCCTGTTCTCCCACTGACACTCCTCAGCGGGGCCAACCTGGGCTGGCAGCAGCCACGAGCTAGCAGTGGGCAGGACAGATGTGCCACAGTGGCTGCTGGCAGCACAGAGCAGCTAGGCAGGTGTTTGATTGCTCAGCATTTTCCAGTGCCTCAATTAAAGGTGTTGGAAACGGGCCTCCAGCTGTTAACGTGGTAAACTGTGACAGAAGGGCTGCTGTCTCTGCTCTGACAGGCCTGGAGGTCTCAGGGTGTCGTGCAGCTGGCTGAACGTGTGCACATGGACAGCACGCCAGCACGGGGACGTACACAAAGGGAGGCCAAACCTCAGGTTACCAGCCCACATTGAGTAGCAGGAGTTCTTCCTAGGAGATTCTGGATTCCTGAATTTCCTAGAAAAATGATGACCAGCACAGAATTCCTCCAGGATTGCAGGATTCTGTACTTGGTCTGAGGCGGGCCCCTGAGGACTGGCTTGTGGCCTCGTCCTGGGAGGACAGAGGTGATGGGTTTCTGGTGGTCACCAGGGGTCTGGAAGCTTAGGGAGGCCCACCTGGGGTCCTGGCATGTCCCAGGCTACTGTGAGGCGAGTGCTGTGCAGTCCTGCAGTGCTTGGTGATTCCTGTCCCATCTGAAGAAGGTTGGCGCTATGGCTGCCAGGCTGGGCCACACCCAGGCCCCCAGCCCTGGCCAAGGACGTGGCTCAGGATCTGCACTGCGGGCCCATGGCAGCGTCCCTGCTGGCGCAAACCATGTGGGCTCTGCCAGTCTTAGGAAGCTGAGGCAGCAGGCCCCGCCCTTTCCCGGGGCATACTGCTTCCAGATTTTTGAACCCTGCGCATGGAGCTGTGAGCTGGGCTGCTGGTGAGGGCAGCAGCCAGCACAGCGCTGTCACATGTTGGTCTCTCCCTGAAGTCCCTGCTTGTATTCCAGCCACTCTGCTGGACCACAGCTGGCACCGGGCTGCTGGTGGACTCTGCCGTCTGCTTGCATTGCGTCTTCACATTGATCTGAAAGGTAGGTCCTCTTACCAACCTTGTTTTAGATCTGAGGATGAGTCTGAGGCCCCGTGTCAGCTGTCTCCCGACTCCTGGCTCTCCAGGAACCTGCATTGATAGCCACACTGCCCCTTGTGGGGTCCATGTCCTAATCCCTGGAGGACAGCTTGTGGCCATGTACTGCTGGGAGCTGAGGAACTGCCCCTGCTCGCCCCTTTGTCAGCACCAGGCCTTGAAAGGGATCCCTGCTCCTTGTCCCAGCACAGAAGCCCCAGCCTGGCCAAGCACTAATGAGCAAACCAGGAGCCTGGGGGAAGCTCCCTGGGCAAAGGTACGACCCTAGTAAGAAGCAGCTTGGAAAGTGGGAGCTTGGGTACGCAGAGGGGTGTTGATGGTTGGGGTGCAAAGCTCTGTGTGCATTTTAGGTCAGAGTTTTTAAACAGCAAGAGGGCTAGGACACATCTGTCTTCTAACCAACTGTACCAGTTACCAAAGCCTGAGGAAGTGTCCTTTTGGTGGTGTGCAGCTTGCAAATCGGCCGTCAGGCAGCTGCTCAGAGGACCCGGATCAGCCACGAAGCTGTGTCCCCAGTGGTAAGGTCTCTGGTCAGCTCACAGGGTGCCACTACTGGCACCTGTGCCGCTCCTTCCCCCGGGGTATTGCGGGTCTGTGTCGGGGAGTGCTCCAAGGGCAGCGCTCCACGGCCCTCAGCTTGGGTGCTGAGAGTTGGAGGATTCTAGGGAGCTATAACCTGGGGTGGGGCCCCCGGAAGAATGACTGTCCAGGAAGCAGGTGGCTGTTGTAGCTGTGTGCTGGAATATGGGAACAGTGGCGGCAGCTTACTGTCCATGAACTGCTCGCTCACACAGAGGAAATCCCGGGATTTCATGCCCTGAAGTTAGTAGATGCCACCCGAATGGGTGTAGTTGGCAGAGCTGAGGAGTTAGAGGGAACCCTGACAAGGGTGGCAGGCCAAGGCAGCAAGTCCAGTAAGGAACAGGTGGGGTCTCCTGTCCACGCCCACCCCGTCAGACCAGCACCCTGTCTAGCAGCTCCTTACCAGCTGGGGCCTCCAGCTTGTGTGTTTAGCAAGTGCTGCTAAGCAGTGTGAAAGGGCACAGGGAGCCCAGTCAGTCCCTCCCCGGGGCCAGGGCACCAGAGGTGGGGCACGAACTGGAGGAGCGGCTGCGGGGGGCTGTAAATGTTCTGAGTGCGTCAGGGGTTCGGGTCCGCAGCTCCCTTCCTGGGCCAGCCCTTCACACGCACTGCTCCTGTATAGGTGGCTCTTGAATACACGCACCCGTCACGGATTGTTTCAGAAGGAAACACCACGTCTTCAACAGGAGGACCTGGCCATGCCGCCACTGTGTGTGCTGAGTGCTCGGCCACGGGCACCGCGTGCTCCCTCGCCCACGCGTGGAGGTGAGTGCTGAGCCTGACAGAAGTCACTACCTGAAACGCTCTCATTTAAAAAATCATTTTTATTATTGTCATTTTATGGTTAAAAAAACATACACAGCCTGACTATAGAGTAATGAGACGGGTTTTCATGTGTGGCTTAGGGTACCGGGTCTCATTAGCATATAGTCACATCCTGTCTCAAGCCTGGAAGAAAAATATGCCTTTGCTATATGATTATCAATTTTGTTAGTTAAAATTTATTGAGTGCTGACAGAGCACTAGGCACATATATAACAGAATTGTACAGCCTCTATGTTGTATATTATTTACATAGGTTTTTCCCCCAAGGTAACAGTAAAGCCTGTATTTAATTTACACAACTGTAGACGGAAGTAACAGCACTGGGAATGAGCAGGTCCTGGCACGAGGAGCACCTTGTCACGCGCGTGGGCACGGGAGCACTCCGGCCCGGCCCAGTGGTCCGTGTTCTCGGGGTTTCCGGCGGCGTGAGAGCAGATGGCCAGGAGGGAGGCCGACAAGCCGAGTTCTCTTGCTGCCAGGGACCACCGTGATGGACATGTCACATCACAGCTACAGCCTGCAGTCGGAGTGGAGAAGGGGACGTGGAGAACTGCTGTTTCTACCCCTGCAGCCTTGCCTCTCTGCTAACTGCTACCACAAACACCGATGCGATACAAAATAATGAGAGACAGATTCCAGAGTTACTGGGTAGTAAACCGAGCCTACAGCCCCGACCTTGGTGCTGGTGTGGGCGGGTACAGCACGCGGTCACGTGAGCTGTGGGCGTTTGACAGTCCTGGGCCTCCTTGGCTGACGGTGGCTGAGCTTCTCCAAGCCGTCACTTGCAGACTGGCCGGTGCAGTGCCAGGAACCCCTCCAGGTCTTCTGATATTGCTTCTATCCAAATTTTGAAGGAAAAAAATTAACGTTTTCAAAAACTCTGCCTCCATATTCAGTTTGTAGATTTGATTTCTACTGTTTCTCAGGGTTTCAGGCCAACGCACAGGATCCAAGTTACAAGAATCGGTGACCACTGCTCCATCCCGAGCCCGCCTGCACCGAGTCCTGGGGAAAGGACACTTGCAGGTCAGCCTCCCGCGGGTTCCATGGTGGGTCGGGTGGGACTCGCGCTCATCTGCTCCGTCCCGCTCGGACAGAAACGACAGCTGACCGCAGCACCTTACCTTCAGTTCAGTTAGGACTCCTGATATTATTCTGAAGCTATCTTAAGCATACTCAGAAATGAAGGACTCAAGAAAATGTTCAGTCTTTTATTTAAAAACTATGAACAGTCACCAAAGTAAATAAAGCCATTCTAGAACAGAAACTGTCAGGTCCAGATGTCGTAGTGTGCACCCTAAGGACACAGCAGGGACGGTGGTGGGAGGTGCCCACGGCGTGGACGCTCGCCCAACAGCAACGGGCAGTTAAAACGGTACATTTCACGCTGGGAGAGCTGCGGGAAGGGCAGGTTGGAGCAGGAATGTGGTGCAGTATTAAGAATGGAGAATTAGACAATAAACCCCGCACTCTAGGAAGATAGAAAAGGAGTGGAGAGTTGTGCACAGAATGCATCGACGCACAGCAGAGAGCCTGTATAAAATCCCATGTATTCAAACCAATTTACAAATACAAAAATTCTGCGCAAGCCCAGAGCTTGCACAGGACAGACGCTTACCATGGGTACATGTTAGGGAGAAACCAAAAAATACCTCCAAAGAGCTTCTACAAAAATGACATGAGATATATTATTCCATACTCTTTCAGCCAGCAAAATGAGTTCTACAAGGTGTATAATACAAAACAGGAAAAACAAAACAAAATCACAGTCCCACAAACTGCCTGTACAGCACGAGTACCTTGCGGGTATTTACAGGATCTGGCGAGCAGCCGCCCGGTCACGGGCCACGGGCAGCGCTCCAGTGGCTGCCGTGGCGCCACGGAAGGAGTTCCTTCTATTCACAAGTATTTACAGAATCTATTCCGACTGGTAAATTTTTATGATAATAAATAAGTGAAAATATATTGGCTCAAGTAAGAAAACCAAGCTACTGATTTCTAAACAAAACACACAATCCATAGCTAGATACTGGTGCCCCCTCTGAGACTGGGGGTGAAGTGTGCTGAAACTTTTTTTTTTTAATTATTCAAACCAGCTTAAATGGTTTTGTAAATATAAAAATGTGCTCCTTTTTGGATATAGATAAAAATATTTAATGCTTCTATTTCATCTGCTCGTGAAAGGTTTTACAAGATTCCATGTATGTTCCAATGTGGATGGTACTGAATTCTGACCACAGCGCTTCCATCAGGACGTCAGGGCTGGTGGGCGTCCTGCAGACGAGCTGGCTGACAATCCCCACAGCAGTTCTTTCTCCTCTTGGACTTTTTAAAAACAGAACAAAGGGATTCGCTCAGAGATCAGAATACGGACTTCCTCTCAGCTCACGGAGGAGTGAGAATAATTCATTCTATGTTCTCTGTTCCATGAAGACGTGGTGCTTCCTTACCAGTGTGTGAAATGTGTCTGACTTGGAGTCCCCACTGTCCCAGCGGGGTTTCACTGCAGCATCTCCGAGTCTTGTTCTTGCTCTTTGCTCTGCACTGTGAAGTTGAGTTCGTAAAGGCATTTGGCAAGGGTGGAGGAAGCTTCCATGTTGCTTATAGCAAGCACGGATAGGTTGTTTTCATGTCTCTTTAGCAATCTGGAAAAAACACAAGAGTTGTCAGTCCCGAGATCACAGCGAGGACTCTGCCTCCAGGATTCTGCAAGTTCAAGATCAACACCAGCCAGGCCACACGAGCATCGCTCCGAAGCAGGCTGGGGCGCCTTGCTGTCTCTGCTCCACACTTCCCTCCTGTAAGTAAGGAAAAGCGGCCTGGCCCCACTCGGTCCTCATGGGCACCCCAGGATGGAGAAGAGCTGGAAGGGCGGCCGGACACGGGTTAAGGCTGGGCAGGTTCCTGTGTGACACTTCTGTCTGTACATACAGCCTGACCAAGGTTAGGGTGAAGGGTGGAGCAATGATGCTGTTTAGGAAAAAACTAACACCGTGAGAGGACCTAGGGACCTTTTATGCCTGTGTTGGAATAACCAGCCTGAAGAGGAAACACTGCAGAAAGCAGTTTGTGGCAGAGACCCAAAGCACAGTGTAACATGCTGGCAAAGCACGGGAAAGGACAGCTGCCGCCGTGGGCGTCCCTGCTCCTGGCATCTGGCAAGTGAACCGTACCCATCCTCCATTCTTGACCAACTGGACGTCCAGCTGTACCTGGTTCTGTGTTGAGCTGAGCAGACGGTGGCAAGGAGAGAGCTGTGAGTTGGTGCTGTGTCACAACAGGAACATACATGGCAGAGGTATCAGGGCGACACAATGAGCCATGTAGGGCCAAAACCCAGCATTCTGACAGAACAGGATGTTCATACTATGTCACTGGCAATACCAAGTCCACCTGCCTGGTGGGGCGGGCACAGAAGGACTGCACGGTGCCCTGACTGAGCTCAGCATGTGTGCACAAGTGCTCTGTCTACTCTTTCTGAAAATGAACTTGGAAAAAGCCCTGAATTCATTTCTCTATTTCAAACTGTGTTTCTAATCTCCTGTGTTCCTTATTTTTGAGATCAACCTCTTAACAGCAGGATAACTGATACACAGTATTAGAAAATCCAATTTTGGGTACAAACTTCCAGGAAAATGCACAAATTTATCTCCATTTCTTCCTCACACAGCATCACGTGAGGAAGAGCCAAGAGCTGCCCCTGCCAACACTACTATTTGGGGGAAGTCGGCGAGGCCAGCAGGGTCTGCCCCCTGGGCCCCACAGCAGGGCCTGCACACGACCAGAGGATTCAGGAGCAGCCGTACTCGGTTTCCTGGTTGCTCCACTGCAGACCCCGCTTTCGCTAATGCACTTGGGAAAGGGGCGAAGGATGGCCCACTTCCTCGAGACCCTGCACCTGTGGGGGAGGCCAGCAGAAGCTTCTGGCTCCGGGCTTCAGCCTGGCCCAGCCCTCATTTCTGTGAGCGTACGGGGAATGAGCAGCTGTATGGGAGACCTCTCTCCCCTGCCCCAACTCTGCCTTTCAAATGAATAAAACCTTACACAGCCAGCAGCAGCTCCCACCCTGCAGGCCCCAGCGGCTCCTGCTGCCTACAACTGCTCTGCGTGCTGCTGAGGAGGCCAGCCCGCCAGTAGCTGTCACTCCTGCCTGCCTCCTGCCTCGGGCCCCGTGTGTGGGGCAGCGTTTCTCGGTTTTCTTTAATGCTGACCTAGCTGCACAGAGAGTGAAAGGATGCCACTTTGCAGAGCTCAGGCAGAGGGAAGACCACCTGCATGTCAGTACTGTACAAGATCCACACTGCGGGACTGTGCTTCAGGCCAATGGGTGACTTCTCACCGGACTTGGGACACTGCACCGTGAGAGCAAAGGGGCCTTCCCTTGCGTCTGAACCTGCGGGTGCTTGGGCGCACACGTACACACACACACGTACACACACGTGTACACACACACACACACACACCCCCACCCACCCCCACCCCAGCGGCACCAGGGATGGCCGCCAGCACTGGCAATCGAACACAAAGAACTGAATGAACTTTCTAATTCACGATCCCAGGCAGCAAACAGGCCAGAAGTATTGGCATGATTTGAAGAAAAGCTGACGGAAGACAGGAAGGTGAACTCATCTGGCTCAGCAGCCTAGGAAACCTACACAGAGACTTGTATAACTGCCGAGACGGTCATGACCAAGTTAGCGATTACTCCATGGGAAAGCTTAGTCGTAACTGCACAAGTGAAGCAGTTATTGCACGGCGCTCCCTGCACGTGTCAGTCGCACTTGGTGAACGCAGCAATCAACACTTCTACACCAGAGACTAAAGACGAGAACACTTAGGCCCCACCTTCATGGAGCTCGCCATCGGGCAGGGACACCCACTGGACTGGAGCTAGAGGCAAGGGGAGAGGAAGAGCAGCCGGAGTACCTCGTGCAGTGTCCAGGCACCTGCACTGGATCCGTCGGGAGGTGGGCGGGCTGGAGGGTTACAGACCCACGGGTCACCAGGATGGTGGCCCCAAGAGACAGCGTGCCACAGGGAGAGCGGGGAGCTGCAGGCAGAGCTGTGGCCTGTGGACACCAGCACCAAGCTCACAGGCGGGTCAGCAAAATTGGGAGAGTCAGAAAGACCAAGTCAGCAAAGTGGCAAGGAGCCAGGAGGCCACCGGCCTGTGTGCTCACTACTCCTAAACAAATAACATCTCCTGAAAAAGACATAATTTTCCTCATTGATTTGTAAGGAATACTGAATAAAATGGTAACTTTGGTTCCTTCAAGTGTCTTAATTACAAATTCTACTTTCATCTTATATAAATTTTAAAGTTTGACAGACTCAAATTTACTTTCTTTTATGATCAATATTACTATTTTTAGGTTTAGAAAATATAGTTTAGAGGTTATGGCAAAAATATCATCTAAAGCTAGGTCTGAGTAGGCATGGCAGCCGCCGTAAGGAGGTTCCAGCTGGGTGTAGGGGATGGCTGTCTCACGGGACACAGGGCACCGGTGGCTGTGGGCAACGCAAGCCACAGCAAGGCCAACTTTGCAGGGAGGGGCCAGGTGGCCCGATAGGAGAGCTGGCACTCTGAGTTTCCCAAGGACACTTCCAGAATCCTCAGTTTTGTCCTGCTCAAGGACATTTTGGAGTCTCGGGCAGATCCACTCTGATGTGCTCATTCAAGCCCAGCTGTCAAACTGCGCTCCCCGTCACGGCAGAACTCACGCCTTCCCCGCGGGAAGTACATCTCTGTGCTGAAGGTGCTTCCCACCCTGAGCTCCACGCCAGTAAGAATCCATTCCGTCACGCAAGGGGCCAGGGCACTGAGCTGAGTGCAGAGGCTGCATTGCCCATCCTGCTCCCTTCCACAGCACCAGGGAAAGCAGGGCAAGGCAGTCCTCACTACTGGGTTCCTGACTGGCCCGGCCCAGCACTGGCTGGTGCGGCCATCTGCTGAGTGTACTAGTGGATGGGACAATCTAACAAAATCGGCTATGAAAATAAACAGGTAAAACATTACCTTTTGATTATTTCAACTGCCGTGTATTTGTAGCTTTTAAGAGATCACAATGGGGCCAGTGTGATAGCTCAAGTGGCTAATCCTCCACTTTGCAGTGCCAGCATCCACATGGGTGCCAGTTCGAATCCCAGCTACTCTGCCTTCCATCCAGCTTCCATCTTATCACCAGGGAAATCAGGTGGGCTCCAGGTCTTGGGACCCGGTGCCCACGTGACATCCAGAAGCGGCTCCTGGATTCTGGTTTTAGGTCAGCTCAGCTGTGGCTGTTGCAGGCATTTGGGGACAAATTCTTTGTCTCCTCTTCTCTGTAAATCTGCCTTCTCATTAAACATACATAAATCTCTCTCTCTCTTTTTTAACAAGAGAGATGGCAATGCTTTTGCCTTGGTATGAGCTTTTGGGTGTATTTGCCGAAGTGATGGGCGCAGCAATCAACAGGATATACGTGGCCACAGTCAAAGCAGGAGAACATGAACCCCGTGGTTACGGAGGCGGAGCACTCACCTGCGACCACACTCTGAGTGTTTACCGATATTTTTTAGGATTAAGGCAGCTGTTAGTCGGATGTGTTTAGTTATTGGTCCCTCTTTTTCATCCTTAAAGAGAAAGGAAGACATAAAGAAGAATAAAGATCTCAGCCGCAGGCAGCTCCCACCTGAACAGAGCAGGTTTCAAGGCATGCTTACTGTGAAGTCACGAAAGACGAGGTTTCGGGACCCCCTCCTCAGGGCCATGAGGGCGGCGCTGGGGTGGTTCACAATGGCCTTCTGGGCTCGCGGGGCAGAGCCTGTGCCCCCTCCAGCTGGCTGCCTGGGGGTGCAGAGTGGGATGGTTAACCTGACCCTGCAGACCGCTTACTGTGGGTAGTCTGCAGTACTGGGCACAGCGAGCAAAGCGTCCCACTGCCCAGCACCGCTGCTTATGCCCAGTACCAGGGAGAGAAGTCTTGGGTCTTTGTCCACATCCATGGGTTGTAAACCACAGCAGCGGACTCATTCAGGTCCAGCTTTGGAAGAACGGGGCTGGGTAGTCCAGCCAGAGCCCTGTGGAGCTGAGTCCTCAGTTCTGCACGTGGAGACATCAGATATAACTGCTCCCCTGTGGCGCAGATACTGACTAACGTCACTCCACCCCTTCTCCACAGCTCCTGAGTGCTCTCTGCCAGACAGCCTGGAGGGGCCGTAAAGACAGCTCCAAAGCTTTTCTCCCATGTCATCTGCCAGGACATCTGGGGACATCAGAGCCACACGGAACCCTGCGGGTCCCCCTGCGTGTGTGAAGAAGGGAATGGCGTGACTGGGGCTGGGCAGCTGGACCACAAGCTGAACCGCCTCTCCCTGTGGTTCTGTTTTGCCAGGCTTCCCAGTATTTGTTCAACAGGAGGAAACATTTTCCTTACTTGGTAGAAGATTTTTGACTTCCCATTTGTCCTGGTTCGTCCTGCTTTAGTCCTGCAAGCAGGGCATCCTTCGAACAGTGCTTATCCTGTTTGAGAAAAGTAAAATATACATTAAGGTCTTCAATGCCACCACACCAGTTACCGACCACACAGTATGAGCGCAGGGTACCTGTAAGTGGGTGATGAAAGAAAACCTTTGCCGCTGGAAGGGCTCACAGCCTTCCCACAGACACTGGCCTGGGTAGACGTCTTTGCCCCCGTGCTCGGTAGCGGCATGGTAGAACACCTGCGAGGGCGTCTGAAACCACCTGTAAAACAGGAGCGGAGGAATCTTTACAAAAAATGCTTTCTTATTACAAAGACAGAGCGGGGGAGCTTTTCCATGTGCTAGTTCACTCCCTGGGGCCGCAGGGCTGGGACTGTGCAGGCTCAAGCCTAAAGCCAGGGGAGTCTCTCGGACTAGCAGGCAGCTGGATGGCGGGCAGCAGCCAGGACACCCGGATGCAGATGGACACTGCAGGAGCGCCGGGGGACCTTTTCAGACAACCTACCTTTAATAACATGAATCGTAGTCAAGAAGCAACAAAATGGGGTGAGCTGTTCTCCAATTCATTTAGAGTATGTTTTTAAACTTTGTATATTCATTCACCTGTATTCCACTCCTTCTGGTAACTTAAATTTAATATCCTATCATCCTCTTAATTTCCTACATTCAATAAAGATTTTCTAAGAATCTCTTGGAAGCAAATGATACACCATTAAAAAATACCCCAAAACTACAGAACATACTCTTGTAGTAAACGGCCTAAGCATTTACTAGATTCTGTAGTACATGTAACAACTCTAGCATTTCTAACCCAAAACTTTAAATTCTACACATTGTGACCAGCTTGACTTACTCAAGTTCATACTTGTATGTCCGGTCCATGTTTGAGAACCCACATTTCTTATGTCTCTACTGTCACATGCCACCTACTGCCAGGGCTGGACAGTCACCGTCTGAGTGGGTCTACGGCAGATGACAGCAGGAAGAACTGAGCTCAGGAATGCGCTCCGGGCAGCAGGAACACCGTTCAGATGGCACCCTGCGGAAGGGCTGTCAGTGCCGCCACACCAACATGTCTGTCCCCATGAACGGGGCTCTGGCGTGCAGCATCTACTTAACGTTTCCAATTCATACTCCCTTGGGAAGTGATCAGCATTTAAGATTTTAAAAATCAAAATGTAGTTAAATACTGAATTGCAAGACACTGTCGGAAAACATTACAGATTGTATTGCGTTTGCATTTCATATGCCTAAATATATATCAAAAGCTATTCTGAAGCTAAAGTCAAAAGTAGATACATCAGAACCATTTTTTCTACTAACCCATCTGAGATGGAGGAAGGGAAGATGACGGCACGTGGCAGTGGTTCGTTCCCCGCCAGCGAGCCTTCGAGCAGAGTCTGCATGTCAGAGCCGACTACTTAACTGCCCACGTCTGTGCCTGCTTACTCAGCCACTTGGGTCACAAGGGCTGCTACACGGATGAGGCTGGCTGAAGTGACCACATGAGCACATGTGAAGGGATTCAAATCCCTGAGTTTTCTAAAGTCTGGGTTTTTAAGAAAGTTCTAAATAATAGAGAATTAAAATCTGAGTGAACACAGACACAGAGTCTTCATACTGTGCTCAGCCCGGATGGGTAGAACGCGCATGCGCAGCAAGCCCCGTGTAGTCACAAGCCCTCGGCACCTGCGAAGACACCAGGGGAGAGCCCGAGGAGCGCCTGTGACCACCACGACCTGACATGCAGCGTCACTGCACACCTGCATACGGCAGGAGTGGTGGCCGTGTGCTGTGCACAGGAACAGGCAACATAAAGCCATTCAGTAAACTAGAGCCCTAAACAGCGTCCTTGGTGTCCTCAGCAGGGGACACTGCAGCTTGAGAGAAGCATGGCACTGTGCCTCCTGGACGTCCCATGCCGTCCAGCCCATCACCCCGAGCCCATTTCATCCAGTTTTGCTCCTGAGTGTGGCCCCCAAGAAATGGCTCCAAGACCACTTTGATGCAGAATTGAGCTTCCGTTCCCATGTGGGTTCACAGGCCACATTCCCATCACACAGGGCCAGGCCTCATCTGCCACCTGACTCTGCCTTCTGCATTGGATCGGTCACTGTTCTCCCATTTCCACTCACACACTGTCGACAGAGGCATGTGCCCCTCTAACTTCAAGCAACAAGAAAACGAAAGCTTTTTCTTGGATCTAGCTACTTTCTGAAAGATAGGAGCTCCAACTGCTCAAAATCTGGCAAAGCAACATAAAGTCTAACGTTTAACACATATATTTTGATAACTACATATGACGCTTTTCTCAGTCCCTAGCAATCTTATTTTCAATGATAGCAAATGAAATTTAGAATGCCAGTTTCCTACACATTCGCTAAATAATTGGGCATTTTCTATTTTCTCAATTTTCCCTTCAATCATTTTATTTTCCTTTCTTACTTCAAGCAAATCAGCAGCTAGCATACAAGGTGCAAGTTCCCCAATTCCAGCTTCCCAATGCAGCACTGAGGAACAAAACCACCTGACTAAAATCACCGGTATCCTTTATTTTCATCATCTGCTAACACTCTTTCCATCACCAAAGCAGAACTTCCTAAGCACTGTCACTACAGGATCATGTGAAGAAACTAAAGCAAAGTTTTTGTACCATTTCAAGTGTCTTCTTTGAAAACCTGCAAGAGAACAGGCTTCCAGCTGACTTGGGTAAGATGCCTGCTTCCCATACACGATTCTCTGAACCTGAGACCTGACTCCAGCTCCTGTCAGCACCGACACAAGTGACAGTGGGTGGTGGCTGCCAGGCACAGACTGAGCTCCTGACCTTGGTTTCAGCCCTGCCCAGACCTGGTTGTGATGGGCATCTTGGCAGTGAATGAGGGCATGGGTTCTCTTTGAAATGTATATAAAAGGAATAAAGAAAAGAGAAAGGGAGGGAGGGAAGGTAAGAAAAAGAAAATGCCGTTCCACTCTATACTCGACAAAGTCGCCTAGTGATGCATTCCTTGGCGTGTAACCCTGCAGTTAAGCGACGTGTGATGGTATTAGAAAAATGCAATCAACAACTAACGGTCTTCAAATCAGAAAGCTTCCTGTTGAAGTCTCTCTCACCAAAGGAAGAAGTAACCATTTTCAGTAACAGCTGCCAGAAGAGAGCATCAGGGGAACTAATTGCCAACTCACTCTGTGAGGACTACATTATCCTAATGCCAAAATCAAAGCTAACACAAGAAAACCACAGCCCAGTATCTCTGATGAACACAGATATAAACATTTTGAACAGAAATCACAGTTGTCCTATTAATATCTAAAAAGAATCTTGGTGAAACTCTGTATTGAAAATAAAAATAAATCTTAAAAACATAAAAAGAATATAAAGCATGACAAAGGGGAAGAGTACTTCTGGTCACGGGCAACTCTGGTGCAGCCGTCGGGCCGAGGCTGCAGTCCAGCAGGCCAGTCAGCTTCGAGCCAGCACGCCTGGAGCTGGCCATGCTCCTGCGCCAGCTGCCTCATGGGCACAAGGTGCTCATGGAGGATGGCCACATGCTGGGACCTCACCCTGTCACCCCTCAACAACATACACTGGTCAACTAGAATGAATTCAAGAAAAAACAAAACAAAATAAAAAACCCACTAGCAACCTAGACACAGATTTTTAAAAAAGCTTTTCTGACAAATGGATTTTGTACCATGATACTATGATAAAGCATACATTCAAGCATTACTTGTATAGCTAGAAACAATACTTACCCTTACTAACATGATGGAACCCGACATGGTTTGTTCAGTGTATTCACTCACTGTCAGGATGTACCGGAATGATTTCCGGTTCTCAGCACCAGGCTGACACACACAGTTTTTCATAAACATTGTCAACAGAAATTTTATGGACTGCCCTTCCTAACCCACAGGCCACATGAACAGCCTGCAGACACAGCTCCCAGTGAGTGCAGCTTCTCTAACACAGAGAGAGTAAAATAGAATCTAAAACCACAGTCATTAATTAAGAAGACTGAAATGGAATCTTTGATATTTAAGAAATGAAGGGTATTCTATTAAAACAAGTTTCTTATCCTGGAGCTCTACAGGAAAAAAAAAAAATTATTCTCAAGGCAAAAAAATGTTTTAACTGACAAAGGAACTTTATCTTTACTGTCCCCAATATCTGTCTAAAGCTTTCCTTCAGAGCTGGCAGTGGGGTACACTGAGTGCCTAAAGCCACCACCTTCGTGTCTGTATCCCATGTGGGTGCTGTTCTATGCCCTGGCTGTTCCATTTCCAATCCAACTCATTCTACTGGGCCTGGGAAACCAGTGGAAGATGACCCAAGTGCTTGGGTACTGTTCCTACAGGAGATCCAGGAGATGTTCCTGGCTCCTAGATTCTGCCTGGCCCTGCTCCAGGCACCTGCTATGGCCTTTGGGGAGCGAACCAATGGATGGAAGATCTCTCGTCTAATTTTGCCTTTCAGACAAAATAAATTTTTTGAAATGAAATTTTCCTTCATGAGTAAGAAAGCTTTGTTGAAAAAGTCCAGTTTTGGGAGTGAGCATTTACTTGGTCCTGAGTCACCCATCTTGGTGTCAGGTTGACCCCTAGGTCTGCTCCCAGCTTCGATTCCAGCCAGTCCAGCTGTGCTGAGCGCCTGCAGAATGAACCAGGCAATGGTGGAACACCGCCTTTCTCTCTCCAACAAGGCAGGAAGAGGGAAGGAATGAAGGGAAGAGAAAGCAGTATAGAGCCCAATCCCTAATGACTGTTACATAAACATGTTCTTCCCACCATGCACATAAATGTTGTGGCTTAAATACTGGATTTAAAAAAAAATTCTTTTTTCTTAAAAAATGTTTTTGCTAAAAGCTAGTAGCTTGAAAAGGAAATTTGACAAAATTATAGATGACAGAAACTTAACTAAAAAAGCATTCCAAAACAAAACAAACTTTTGTATATGAAATAAAATAGTCATTTACTTTTTACAAGACTGCCACAGACACATGAAGTTCTGTCCAGGCTTTCCCACTGCGTCTCCGCGCTGCCCGGATGCACCGGATGGAGGAGGCTGACAAGTGCCAGGCTGGCCCTGAGCTGGAACAGCTGGTGAAGGAGGCATGGGAGTGCTCTGGGAAAAAGCAGAAAGGCAGCGTTTGTGACACAACATCGGAAAACATCCATTGCACAACAGTGTTCTAGGTTTGATTACATCCACAAGCATTTCTAACATTAAAACTTACACTTTGCAGCTTTAGAAGATATGAGACACACCTTTTCTGCAAAACGTGCGCAAGTTTCAACCCTTGTATTTAGTATGAAACCGCTGTGGTTACCAGGCTCCACGCACAGCGGCCCCTCAGCACCCACGGACCCCACAGTAGTCCCAGGACCCTTCTCCCCACTGCTTTATCAAAAACCGCAGACGTCTGAGTCTTATTAGAAGTGGGGCAGCACTGCATGCTGCGCATCTGTACATCTGATAACCTTTGTAGGTGACATGCAATGCCTATATAACATCACGTACCGCATCGTGTAGAGAAAGACCAAAAATGTGCGCATGTTCAGAGCAGCGCAAGTCCGCAGGCAGTTGCACTCTCTGCCTGGTTGACCCCACAGATGGGGGGCCAGCTGCTACCGGTCATTATTAAAGTCACAATTATGGGTATGAACAGACTTAAATGAGAAACATATCCATTTAAGTTGCCTGTGAGTGTTCTTGCCAATAAAAGCCAACTCTAAATGACTACTGCTTTGTAAAACTTATTTAGATTTTATAAGGAATATGGAAAACAAAAAAGCAGCAGGCTATATTTAATTATGCAACCATGTAAGTAAAACATTGCAAATATCAACTAATCTGCAGTAAGCTGTTTAAAGTCTTTGATAGCTGTTAACGATAGCTTTGATAAAGTCAATGATAGCTGTTGACGGACAATTATAGCGAAGGATTTTATTTGTAGGCATAAAGTCTTTGAAATACTATGTATGCTAAATTATGATTCTACAACTTTTCCTCTTGGGAAAATTAATAGTTATAATGTAGCTAATATTACAGTAAGACAATTTCTTGAAATACTACAAAGTGAAAAATGTATTTTTTAAAAAAGAAACACATTATTTTTAAGGTACTGTTTTCAGACTTTGGGAAGATAGGAAATCTACTGCTCTAGATGGTAACAGTAAGTGGGTGAATTACTGAAAACTCCACACTAACATTCTGCAATCACAGAACAAAGACAAAAAGGCTGTTGTAACATGTAAGGCTTTTTTTTGCAATACACAAATGAAAAGACAATAAAATGTTAAAACACAAAGTTCGTATCAGAATTGGGAAGTCACAAGAACTCATTTCTGAAATCTCGAGTGAAAACCCACTGTGGGACATGAACATGAACTTGAAGCTGTGTCTGCACTAGGCTCCCACCCAGGCAGGGAGTCTTCCAGCTTGACAGACCAGGACCGACTTCCCTACAAACTTTGGCAACCTACCTCAGCATTCAGCATTCTCATCTATAAAGTTTAAGTCATAAAATCTAAACCAGAGAAACTACACAATTTTCAGTAAACTTCCATTGTTGCTATTACTATGGGAGAGGTGTCTAGTACAGAAAATCCATGTGGAAGGAGAGACAGTGAGTGCACAACGTGGGCCAGTTCCCTACTGACTCGCCCCGCGTGGGTATCAGGAGAAGGGTTTCTAAAACTAAGATGGGAAAACAGAAAAGAAAGGAAAATAAATCAACGCATTAGTCAAATTATTCCTTTATAGGAAAATTTAGTATTATTATACATCTAGGAATTTCTAGGAACTGGTAGTAACCAGGAGGACTGATTCTGGCCAAACACAAATTATAAAGTGTAAGAAGTAACAAAAAAAATCCCAGAATTACAAATTAATTGTGCCAAAGGTATCAAGTTCCCTTTTAAATAATCTTCTGATTTCCAGGCCCGGCGTGGTGGCCTAGCGGCTAAAGTCCTTGCCTTGAACGCGCCAGGATCTAAGTATTTAAGTAGAATACCCAACTTGGGGAAATTTGAATAAAAATGATTTAGTATCTTCTACTGATAGCTCACTTACTAATTATTATCACGTATGCAGCATCCACTAAAGAATGCCCGGAACTTACTCAGCTACTTTGAGAAAGATACATGAATCACAGCCCCAGGGCTCCGAGTGCAAGCATCCCCAGGCGCAGGAGCAAACACGGGCAGCAGGGCCAGGGACTCCTCTCCCTGCTCCCTGTTCTCCAGGTCCTCACTGCCCCTGCAAAGCTGACAACTGCCCCACCCCCCACACCTCCCCAGGGTGTCAGCAGGCAGGGTTCTGAGGAGGAACGGAGCAGGACAATGTGACCACGGACCTAGGGAGGAGCAAGTTTCAGTGGGAACAGCAGATAACAGTCTTAAAATCTTCACGCGCTAACGGAACCTTCGATTCCAGTAGTTTCGGTTCTAAAAGGTCACATATTTACATGGATTGCAGGCATTAAAGAGGGAATAGCAGAAACAGCAGAGCAATTACACAAGAATATCACAACACCTAGAAACAAACTGAAACGACAAGTCATAACTTTCTGAGAAGGAAGGAAATGAGTTCAATACATAAATATAACAAGAACATGTCTGTGACGTTCCGATGAGATTCATTTTTTTCACAAGGGAACTATTAAATGGGACAAAAAAATACCTCTGTGTCCAGCTCAGACACAGGAACATGCACCTGGGACGCTGGCGGGGGTGTGTTCAGGCGCTCTGGAGGAAGCTCAAAAAAGAGACCAACACAGATGTTCTAAATTCTCCAAAAGATGGTAATGTTTGCTATTTAAAATATCTAATCTGGATCTACAACAAAACAGAAAGCTGCACAGTTGAAAATAGTCTGCGATGACAATGAGGGCAGACGCAGAGAGAAAACAGTCGTACCTCCCAGTTCCCAAGGAGAAGTACGGGGGAAGCCCGACACAAGGATGGGCCGACTTACCTGCGGGACCACATTCTGTACATGTGCCGGAGGATGCTGCTGCTTTTGCTGAGCAGCGCTCTCTATCGCTGCCTTAGCTACAGTGCTTGGATCCGCTCCTGCCGGCACAGCGACCATCGTGGCACTACAGCCAGCGTTGTTGGGGTCACTGATTGTAACAATTCGAACTCCGACTTTACTTGGAATTCCTGGGACTGTCTCCTTGTCACTGTCTTCCGCTGGCCGCTTGGCAGGTTTGCACTCTGCTGTGCCATTTGCAGAGCGAATGTCAGCGGACAGGGCAGAATGGGACACGCGCGGTCCTGAGTGGGGAACTGTTACGATCTGATGCCCCTGAATAACAGAGGCTGTAGAATGCGGTGAGACAACTACACTTGGGCGTTGCTGAGGCACATCTGAATTCAAACTTGAAGCTAGAGGTCCATTGGGCAAATCAGTACTACCAGACTGCTGTGTTGCCACATTCACAGACTCCTGTACACTGCTTGCGGACGGCGACCCGCCCAAAGTTAACACAGGTCCATTGGAAACCCTTCCCAGCTGGTCACCTCTGGCAGTGTCATGCTGAGTGGCATCTGAAGTCCCTTGTGGTTCCACTGGAGATATCTCACCATTTCCTACATGATTGGAAGTTTTGTGATTTGGAATGTTTTTGCTTAAATGAGAACCATCTCCTTTATCAAAATCACAGATTCCATTAACCATGGGTTTTTTCAAATCACTTTTGACATCCTGTATGTCCATCGGCTCTGAGTTCTGTTTTCCAGAGGCTCCATTCTCACTTAAGTCGATCAATGGCCCATTGCTTACCAGGGAGCCCTGATGAGTCTCACCCTGAGTTTTCCCTGAGTTTGAAGGAGGTAGACTAGAGTCACTGTACTTCTTCCCGTTCAACAGACTTCCCACTGGCATCTCACTCTCCTGTGTATCCCCATTGCTGGTGTGGGCGGCTCCTCGCCGGCAGGATGGGTTCTCCATGATCTCAATTTTGCGTTCATGAACATGTAAACCTGTTGCTTCCTTGGCTTCCTCCTCCTTCTGGCAAATGATCTTGTCGCCTCTGAATGGGGGAGCAGCGGGGGCACATGAGGACTGTCCCGCGGGCGCTGCCTGTGCGGCTGGAAGCGTCTGCATCTGAAGCCCGACTCCTGCCTGCGGACCGCTCATGGCAAGCCCTGCTGGAGCCACGAGCTGAGATGCGTTTCCCTGACTCACAGTTGCAGTAGCAAAACTCGTATTTGGCACAACTGTAATGGTTACCTGGTTGCCAGATGTCCCTTGGAAAATGGTCGCTGGGCTGTTGGAGATCAGCGGGCCTGGCAATATTTGTAAGTTCGAGATGGGCACAGTTTGCACTCCCCCAGTGGGTGGCATTGCACTTTGGACCAACTGAACATTCTGCTGCCCAACCAACAGCTGCTGAGCTGGAGTCTGGCCCTGTACTCCAAAGCCTGCTGCTTGGTTGTTGGCCACCTGGTAGACCACCTGAGGGCTGGGAGCTCTTGCATTGTTGGGGGGAGGAATCTGTGGGGCCGGGAGAATAAGCTTACCACCTGGAGTTGAAGGGCCCCGCTTTGGAAGCAGCAGCTGTTTTATCAGACTCGACTCCCCAGAAGCAGGCTGCCCAACTCCGGCATTTGCTTGCTGAGGCTGAACCTGCACCTGGACTTGCTGTTGCTGCTGCACTTGGACCTGCTGTGCTGCGGGCGAGTGCTGCTGCTGCTGCTGCCTTTTTACAGACAGCATTTGACTGACAGTAGGGGGTGGTCCCTGTGGCTGGGGGGTGGAGGATGACGGGGCAGGAGGGACTTGGGTATTAGTAGCTGGGACAGGTGATGGTGAAGAAGATGGAGTTATGTTCGGTTGTCCGGTAAGCTGAACTGTCTGACCAGCTGGAAGAGCTGCAGGATTGGCCAGAACAATCTGGTGAATGGCTGGAGCATATGTTTGACCTTGTTGAGCTGGCTGGCTTACAATCACTACACTTTGTTGGGCCGGTTGTTGTGGTTGTTGAATAGGCTGCTGTACCACTGTTGATGAAACCTGCTGAGAAGGGAGAGGTTTTGGTGCAATGTTCTGAAACCCTACCCTCGAGGGCTGCGGACTTGGGACACCAGCAATAGTAACCATTTGTCCAGTAGCTACCTGAAAATTCTGCACTGAAGCTGCTGAGACAATATTGGATGCAGAAGTTGTTACATACTGTGGGGGTGCTATGATAACAGTGTCTTGTGGCTGACTACCAACTGATGCCTGCTGGGATGAAGTCTGCACAGGTTGGGGTGAGGTGGTGAGCAACTGCTGGCCCTGTGAAACTGCAGAAGCACATGCTGGTATATTCTGTACTCTGCCAAATATGTGACTCTGTGGGAGCGCTTGCTGGATGACCGTAACGGGGGTGCCTGAAGCTATCTGTCCTGGTGCCACGGTGTGCAATGGAGACGGCTGTGGGATTACAGATGGGTGGTGAAGCAACGTCTGGGAATTCACAACTGTAACAGGCTGGGGCCCTGCACTGTGATTCTGTACCACCGAAGTCTGGGCAAGGTGTGTAGGAACTGCTGTCTGGGGCACAGAGTTCTGGATCACGGCAGCCTTAACAACTTCACAAGGACCTGGAGCTTTATTTTGAAGGACAGTCACTGGAGTATTTTGCTGCTGGTGAGTGTGAACTGAAGAATTTGGTGGAATTCTTGAAACAGTCTGTGCCACAGTATGAACACCTTGTACAGGAAAAGACATTTGTGTTGCAGTCAAATTTGAAGACTGATTGGTAACATGAGCCCTCTGGTAATGGTTTCCTACAGTTTGTGATCCGTGAGGGATTCCTAAAAATAAGTGGAGAAAAAACAAAATTTCAAATGAAATGGAATGAAAGTCTGCAATTAAGGACTTATTTAACTTAATGTAAGAGAGTCTTACAAAATTAATATACAAGAACTTTAAATGCTATGACAGAATAAATCAGTAGAATAAGGACAAGCGCAGAGGTTAACTGTCCGTACCTGCAGGTGCAGGAGCTGCGGAGCCGTCAGCGAGAGAATCAACACGGACCACAGGAGCAGACACGGGCTGCTGCTGGTAGTACATCTGAATGGGGAGTGGGATGGCCCTCCGCCGGACGCCCACCACGTGAATGTGGGCCTGCCCGCTGCTGCTGGGGTCCTCCACTCTCTTCACGCTGTGATTCGGGAAGACCGTTCTGCAAGGCAGACGTGCACAGTCAGGGCGGGCAACAAGCTCCCAGCCAGAGCCCTCCGACTTCTGCCCAGGCAGATGGTGCAGAAGCGGGGAGCAAGGTAATACATACTCAACACTAATCCTCTGATTTTAGAAATCATTACCTGGTAACAGTGTTTTGGGGTTTAAACAGTTCTGCCTCATCTCTAATTAAAAAAACATTTATTTCATGAACTTTAAAATCAACAACTCCTGCAGAGGAAAAGCAAATGTTCTACGGAGAACTGATTATGGGTTATCATTCAAGATCAAAAAAGTTCAAATTTATATTGTTCATGTAGAAAAGTAGAAAGGAAAAAAAGTAAACTTAAATTTCTTTCTTTAATAAGCCTCCTAACATTCCAATGCAAATATCTGATGTGATTTCAAAAACTGTCTTCTGTTCAAATCACCCCGGAATGCCATAACCAACCATATGAAATTCAAACAGCAGAAATGTTAATGCTAGATAAATGTTCTGTATTTCTCTAGAAAGCAAGAGATGTAATACATGATGTAACAGAAATGTCATAAACTATGCGTCCTACCTAAGACATTTATAAAATCCAGTTGATGTTAATATTCCACCACGAGCTAATTTACTGCAAGTTGAGAGGTATTCAGAATACATTTCTGCCCGAGAAACAGAACAATCTAGATTTACTTCGAAATGAGCATTTAGCCTAAAAGGAGAAGAAGAAAGCCATTACATGATATACTACGGGAGAGTGCACAGTTAAACACAGTAAAACCACGTGAAGGCAATGAGTCAGCAATCGGTAACTCCTACAGTAACTAGACATCACTGCCTTACATGTTAGCAGTCAAACTACATGCTAGCTTTCAAACAGATTACATCAGGAGATTTAACTATTTAACCATACCTCATTTCATACTAAAGATCTCACTAATAACAAATATAAAAACTATATTCACCTCCCAGCATAGTAGGCCTGGTCTGTTGTTCATAAGTACTGCCTAAGAAGTCATTTTATTTAGTGAACATTTGTGTTTTAAATCTTCCAATCAGCATAATGGAAAAGCAGTTTCTAAATATGAGCACCCTGCACTGGTCCTAAGAATATTAGTGAAAACCAGAGCTAAGGCTAAGCTTTCCTCAGCTCTTAGATCAAATCCTTTTAGAAACTCTCACCCAGCTTTAAACTACTCCCCTAAAAGAATCACACTTCCCATGTTGCACACATGACCATTCCTCTATTTCAAAACATTTCTATTTGTTACAGCTTTACAATGTCAATCTTAAGTCTTTTCTTCTTTTCTTAAAACACTGTGGTCTTCTCTAAAAAAAAATATATATATATATATGTAAAATAAAACAAGAAAATTGTTGATTCAATTATTTCTTCATGTGGGGCGGGTGAAGACAAAGAAGTGGGAGAAAGCAGAAAGAATTATCTTCCACCCATTGGTTCATTTTCCAGATATCTGCAATAGCTGGAGCCGGAGCACAGAAGCCAGGGACCCAAGCACTGCTCCCAGGACCAGCACTAGCAGGAGCTGGACAGAAGGAGAGAGAGCCAGTCATACACGTCACTGACTGCTGAAGACAAACGCCCACCCCTGTCTTTCTGGAAGTAGCTTTCATTTTTAGGATAGGAATGGGGACCAAATTACTCTTGAGTAAGTTTTTCCAGAACTCTTACGTATATAACAAGCCATACAACTGTTTCTTATTAACTGAATCAAATAATTGTGATGAAATTATTACAAAATTATGTTCTCCCCTCTTTTCAGTAACTGGCAGAAATGCGCAAATGGGATCTGTAAGACCAAGCCTGTGTGACACACACACCTTACAGTGGTTTGACATATATGCTTTCCAATTTTCAGAGTACTTTTGCTGAGATTTCAAATGTAGTTTCACTGTAGAATATACACATTTTTAAGATATTACACATGTTACATGTAAGAAATCAATGCATATGATGCAAGGGAAAACAATTAGTTAAATACTTACAGCCATAAACCTAATTAAGGTAGAAAAGTCTACGAATAAAGAAAGCTGGAAAGCACAGAGCAACAGTGACAGGGGGAGGGATGCTGGGCAGCGATCTTAGAGGATGGGAGCGAGGGACCAAGGAAAGGCATGGCATAGGGCAACCCAGCACTGCAAAGTGACACTCCACTTCAGCCTGTTAATTTCTTCTAAAAAAAGTGAGGGGGGGGAGAAGGAATAAGAATGTGAGGCCAACCTAACCAACACTGCTGAAGCAAACAAAATCAAACCAGTTCTGCACTTGTTCTTCAGCACGTGGCTACAAAGCAAGCACTGCATCTTCTCACAGAAACACAACTGTCAAGTTACTTAGTGCAATACAGACACAATATCCTATCATTTGGTTAATTTCCTTTAACTACTCACAAAAAAGGAAAAAGTCAACTATCAACACATAAAAAAACCATGCGCTTTATTTTCTTAAAAGTCAGTATAATTCAATTTTAACAAAACATTCATTTTGGAAAAAAATATTGCTATCTGAAACTTTTTTAAACAGAAAAAAACAGATTTTATTATAGGAAGAAATTAAATGCTTTTATTTAACGATATTCTCACATGCTATCTTAATTATGATGAATATTTTTAAAATCATTCCAAAATATAGGTGAAGGATTTACATTAGCCTTTTTAGGTACAGAAGATGTTCTATTTCAACTACAAAGAGATACAGAATATCAAAACTCTGAGTGACCTCCCGGGACAAAGGGGACAAAGTCGCCACAGAGATGCAGGACTTACCACTGGCAAGCAAACTTGTCACTGTCTATTTCCACTATTCCCGGAGGCGGAGTGACATGCTGCGTTACAGCCGCTCTGGAAGCTGAAGTGGAAAGGCAAATTAGCTACGTGGCTGACAGCCCCTCACGCACGCCTGTAATATGCACAAATGCCGATTGCTGGGGAAGATGCGTAAATACAGGAGAATACGCAAGGTTGAAAAAGAAGCAAACACACAGGAAATACATGCTAACCCAGGCACTGTGTCAGATGTTGCACCTTTTTTGTACAAGTCAAAATTGTTTAAACAATAGCATGATGATTCATCTAATATCAGCATAATTTTCCCCGTAAGATAATTTATAGTAGTGTCTTGTTCCTATGCTTCACATACATGTTTCCCAGGACCAAAAACAAAACAAAACAAGTCTCTCAAGACCCAGCAACAAACACTCCTAAAGATGAGATCCAGATTCCAGCCAACAAGAGCAGTCGCCGTGGAGGGAAGGCCGAGCAGGGCAAGGAGCAGCAGCTCGAGCCCTGCCCTCCTCCGCAAGGGCCTGGGAAGGTGCCGGAAGATGAGCCGTGCACTCGGCACGGGCAGCTCTGTGGGAGATCAGGACCAAGGCCGTGGGTCTCGGGCGTTCCCTCTCAGTCACTGCCTTTCCAACAAGCAAGTCTTCGAAAAAGAGAAATGAGTTCAACATTTTCTGGATAATTCTAAATAACTTCAAATAATTATTTGTTGGCATGAGCAATATTTTGCAAATTACACAAATAAGTAGAGAGGACAGGTAAAATTGATGTTAATCTCAGTTTCATTCTAGTGATGAGTAACAGAGATAATGTGACCAACAGCTTCCAGATAGTCTGGGCTGGGAGAAATTTCATCGATTCCATTAGTAAGTGCATTCCAAATTTTTACTTTTTCCTTAAAAATTATTAAAAACTTCCACCATAGTTTTTTTTTAAAATATGGAATTTATGATCAAAACTTTAGCCAAAAACAGAATTTTTAAACACTTAAGAATGTATAGACTAAGGAATTAATTGAAAAAAATTAAAATATTATCTACTTCACACCTGGAAAATATTGATACAATGATGAATACAAGACTCTCGCAAATTATTTATGTTACGGTAAAAATGTGTGAGGATCCTGGGGGTATAAACTCAAGAAAGAAGAGAGATGCAGAATTTGTGTTTAAAATGGATGCTTGGGCCCGGCGCGGTGGCGCAGTGGTTAAGGTCCTCGCCTTGCACGCCCGGGATCCCATATGGGTGCCGGTTCTAATCCCAGCAGCCCCGCTTCCCATCCAGCTCCCTGCCTGGGGCCCGGGAAAGCAGTCGAAGACAGCCCAAAGCTTTGGGGCCCTGCACCCGCGTGGGAGACCCGGAAGAGGCTCCTGGCTTCGGATCGGCATAGTATCGGCCGTTGCGCTCACTTGGGGAATGAATCATCGGACGGAAGATCTTCCTCTCTGTCTCTCCTCTCTGTATATCCGCCTTTCCAATAAAAATAAAATAAATCTTTAAAAAAAAAAATGGATGCTTGTACCAAGACTTCACTGCATACACAATTATTTTAAGAAGTGAGCTACTGCACATCAAGGGAAGATCTCCTTTCCAATTATTTCAAGTATCAAGAGGAGGGTTAGAGATCCACCTACAACAGTGATAACACTTCCCTGTGCCACAGGAATGAGGGGACAGTGAGGGGACATGGGAACAGAGTCTGCCGACAACCACTCCCTAGAGCAGCACGGAGCCAGTGGGGTCACCAGTGACACCACCCTAACTCATCACTCCATGGCCTTCCCAATGCCCTAAGCAGCCTATTGCTGGCTTGTCAGGAGGCATCACATAGATGAAGAAGCCACAAGCCTCAATGCTCTAAATGAAACCAAATCTTAGACTGGCAGATAATCTCACTGTGTTCAAGATTAGAAGTACTGTTCAGGTGAAAGGCCATCACAAGGCAAGAGCAGAGGCCTTCTTCCCAGGCAGCCTTTGATGCTCTTCCAATCAGTACATTCACCGACAACCTACTGGGTTAACAGTTCCTCCACCGCACTCTGCTAACTTTGAGGAAAAAAGCCCTCTACCTACTTGGCTGGCAACACAATCTGTTTCATATCTTTGCCAAGGTGGAGAAACAGCTATTATTCTGACTAAATATTCACCAATATCCATTCACTTTTATCTGTAGGTGCAAGCTGACTGAGTAGGCTGTCAATCCTATTATCATGTATCAGTTCTGGAAGTAAGCTACATACACAGACACTATCATTCCTCCAACGTCGGAGGAGGACACAGGGAAATCAACGCACGCTGCACACACACCCTCGGGGAGAGCCCCTGATTCGGGGAACATGACTGAATGTGAAGACGAAAGGAATCGGACCTGAATCACAAGCAGTGTCAACTGAAAAAGCCACAGTTTTGGAAAGACGAAGCAAAGTTTTGTGAGCAGATGGAAGTGACAAAGGTTAATGATGAGATTTTTGGAGTTTTGGGGTAAGAAAGAAGAAAAGAAAGACATGAATACATTCAATTCCAGCTGAAGTAATCAAGAGAGGTGTAATAATATGCCATCAAGGAGATGGAAAACATTGATACAGAGGCGTCTCTGTTGAGGGAAAGAGGAAGGATTCAGACAGCAGCTCTCCCAGTGAGGGGCAGGAAGTTGAAACTCGTTCCACACAGCCTCTATATGAACCATAAAGTGAGAGGGGAGGAGAACGCATCTCTCGCTCAGAGAACGCTGGAGTCAAGAAGAGGTGGGAGAGCAGAAGTGGACAGCTGCAGAGGGACCAAGTGAAGGCAGAGAGAGCACTCCATAACAAGGCAGCACGTGCTCAACATAGAAACGCTGACTGCTGAGGTAAGAGACAGAAGCCAAAGGGCTGAGGTAAAGTCTGGCAGCACAAGGTCCGTACTGTAATAAGACACTTTAGTTCAATGACCTCTGGCCGTGGGAGCCCCGACGGCACCCACAAGGGCAGGTACACACCAGGCTGCGTGCAGGGGTGTGTCTATGCACACGTAGGGCCAAGACTGGAGGGTGCCAAGAACGTCATCCACATGTATCTGCTAGTCGCTCTAAGAATTCTAAGCGGATATAAGTCTTCACACAGATGTCAATTTTATGAGAGAAAAATCACAAATAAAAACCTCAGGGGGCACTTTTCTTGTTATAACTGTGAGTAACTAATTCTCCCATTGCTTTCCTTTGTGCTCATTTTGCCTTCCCTTTCCTGGACTATAAAGTGTCTAGGAAACTAGCACATGTCCAGAACTTTCCTCACCCATTCTATTGCAAACCATCAATTTCCTCAAATACTATTGCAGGTCATCCACACCCATAACCAAACTCAAAGAGCGTATGCAGAATACTAACCGGAGGCAGAAGCGACGGGCGCTGGGGTTGGGATGTGCTCCGCAGCCTGTGGCCTGATTTCAGACAAAACTTGATGGCTGGAACTTGGATGTTCTACGAGTTTTACTGCAGCTAAAGCATCAGGGCCAAACATCTGAATATCCATAGAAACCAGACACACTAACATGTCTGAAATAAATTTAAACATTAATAGTCATTAGTCAATAGTATAAGAAAAAATGCTAACGGGCCTGGAGCAATGGTTCAGTGCCTAAATCCTCGCCTTGCACATACTGGGATCCCACACGGGTGCTGCTTTGTACACCCACTCTCCATTTCCATCGAGCTTCCTGCCTGTGGTCTGGAGAAGCAACAGAGAATGGCCCTAAGCCTTGTAAACCTGCACTCGCCTGGGAGACCTGAAGGAATCTCTGGCTCCTGATTGGCTCAGCTCCAGCAGATGCAGCTACTTGGGCAGTGAACCAGCAGACAGAAGAATTTTCTGTCTCTCCTCTCTGAAAGTCTTCCTTTCCAACAAAAATAAATAAATCTTAAAACACACACACACACACACACTCTTTCTCTCTCACTCTCTGCTGAACACATGTTGTACAGAATATTGCTTCTCAAATAACAATCCATGCATCATTATAAATCTGAACTATCTGCAGATCTTTAAAAAGGATTTTGTAACTTAAACTCTGAAGACCGACTTCAAAGCTCAGAAGAGAGCTAGGTATCAGAGGGCCCAGCACAGTAGCTTAGAAGTCCTCGCCTGGCATATACTGGGATCCCAAATGGGCACCAGTTCCTGTCCTGGCGGCTCCACTTCCCATCCAGCTGCCTCCTTGTGGCCTGGGAAACAGTAGAGGACGGCCAAAGGCCTTACGATCCTGCACCTGTGTGGGAGACCTGAAGGAAACTCCTGGCTCCTGGCTTTGGATTGGCTTGGCTCCAGCCTGCGGCCACCTAGATATGAACCAGTGGATGGAAGATGTTTCTTTCTGTAAATCTTCCTTTCAACAAAAATAAATTAAAACAGACGAACAAACAAAAAAACCAAAGCCTCTACATGGCCAATGTAGCATGCTACGGTTCTGCCTGGAGTGCCGACATCCCATCTGGGTACTGGTCTGTGTCCTTGCAGCTTTACTTCTGCTCCAGCTCACTGTTTACAGCTTAGGGAAGCAACAAAGGTTGGCTTAAGTCCGTGGGACCCTGCGGCCACATGGAAGACCTGCAAGAAACTCTCACTCCTGGCTTGGGACCAGTTCAAGCCATTTGGGGAGTGAACCAGTGGGTGGAAGAACTCTCTGCCTCTCCTTCTTTCTGCGTAAATCTGCCTTTCAAACAAAAATGAAATAATAAATCTTAAAAAAAAAAAAAAGCTTCCAAGTGATCGTGACTGATAGCCACATTTAGAAACCAGGAACAACAACAAAAAAATCTTAATTTTTCAACATTAGTAGTTTAAAAGCTAAATCTTTATTAACTCTGATATTAGTAACTTTTTCCCAGGAAAGATGTCATATTTAGACTCCAAGAAAAAAGGATTAACCTCCTGTGCTTAACGAAATTTAAAACTGGAACCCTGAAGATGTCCACTGATTTCACCCGCAACTTCCAGAAAATGCAGATTAACTTGGCTTCACTAGCAGCAGTCACTAAGGACCCGAGAAGCTGGTGTCACAGCAGTGAGATTTCATAGCGTCTCAACATCAAGTATCACACACATGAAGAGACACAAAGCGCAGGACGGCGGGCAGCCAGAGTCCTAGTCTGCTTATCTGAGACTGACACAGGGACAGCACGACCAAGTGTGCTTGAGCAAAGTAAGAGCAAACTCAACTAGGGAACGGCACAGTCCACTCTCAGTGCTTTTCCTCAGCAGCACAATGAAATGATTTTTGGTCTAGTCTTACCTATACTCTTTTCTACTTTTGCGATTTTTGTGCAAGCAACATCTCCCATTTCGGTGAGCATGTATAGCACCTCAAGTGTTGAGATTACAAGCAGCACGTCTGGCAGAGTGAGATGACAAATGATCTCGCGATAGGAATCTTGATCAACATATTCACAGATCAGAACGCCGTTGTCCTCTGCTTTGCAAAGATTTCCCAGAATTTCCATGCCTGAAAACACACAGATGGATCTGTCAGCAAAGGAGAAGCCGCTCACTTCAGACAGGGGAAACTTGAAGGAACACTCACCCCTCATCTTCAGAAACCTGTCCCTCGACATCAGGCATTTCGTAACAGTGTGAAACATCAGATGAGTAGTTTTGAAATCAACAGGGTCCAATAAAAGCTGGAAACAAAGAACACGGCAGTTGAGGCCTGCTTCTCCAGAGCTGCACAGTTCAAACGTAACCACAATGCACAAGGCCTTGCAGCTTCGCAACATGCATTTATTGTGAGAGCAGCCACCACCGAGAATATTTCTTCCACAAAAGTGTGATTCTTTTACACAACATTGTGTAAATACGTTAACTGCAAAAAGCCATTTTCTAACATTTTTTAAGTGAGTGCAACCATCAAATCTAAAGATGATTTTTAAGGTACTCGGACATGCTTACCTCAGCTGCAATATTTCCTAATGTGTCAAGGCCCAACTGCCTTAAAGAAATAAAATGGCTGTGTGCCGAGAGCAGCAGGAAGCGCAGACAGGTGCGGTTAGCTGCCAGGAGCTTCACGTTGCCCTCCTCAAAGGAAAGGTTGCGCAGGATCACCGCGATCTGAAGGACCCGCTGGCCTTCGATGTCGTTGATGCCGAGCTTCCGGGGCGGGTGGAACAAGGACTCCCAAATCCAGTCTCCTGGCGGGCCTTCTACAAGGAAAAACACAACGGTACTTGAATTGATATTTTTATTATTTTATTGGTACTTCCAAACTGTCTAGTAATTTTGCCTGTCATGACTCACCATGAGACTTGTTTCTGTCCGAAATGAGGTCACGCACTTCATTATCATCAACAATATCTTTCCAAAACTGAAATGAGAAATTATCACATTGGATCCTGATGAACTAAAACAATGATCTTATTGCTTTGCTTTACGTAAATATTGTTACACCAATGAACTTAATTATCTAACATAAATAATTGCTTTTCTAGAGGGCAGACACAGAAGCACTAAGGGCTCCTTGCCTGGGAGCCACAGAATTCTCCGAGGCCTGTGAGAGGAAGCAAGCGTGTCAGTGTGGACTGCAGCGGGGGTGGGGAGCGAAACTGTGCGTGGATTTGTGTTACAACAAAATCCAACAATTCTGAAAACACTAACATCTAGAAACCGATCACTTTACATATACTCAATAAAAAATAATTAGAAACCACAATCCAGAGCAAAATCAGTTTCAACCAAAGTGGATACAGAAATAAGACTTGAAGAAGCAATTATTAAATGTTAAAGAAATTTTAAAAATATGAGCCAAATGCCATTTTTACAGATAAAAATGTGCTACATGAATTGAAATTCAAGAGTGTCTTAACTAGTAAACATAAAAATTTAACAAAAAACTAACCACAGTTAAGCACAAACAAGAAAATGGGAGGGATGCCTAAAAACAATCCACAGAAACCTAAGTAAGCCACAGTACCATGATTTTACATACAAACAGGTGCTGTTCCAGAAACAAATAGAAAAAAGACTGAATTACCAAAAACTTTCCAAATTCCATATCAAAATAATGACCAGAGCCCCAAGAAGCTAAATTTATCCAAGTAATGTAAATAAAAACCACCAGAAATATGAAAACCAAATAAAAAAATCAATAAAAAGGCAGTCACTAAAAATCTCATACAGAACAACAATATTTTTCCCCAGTAACAATACAGAGCAGGTAACAGTCAACTGTGTGTGTGTATGTATTTTAATAAAAATTTAATTCAGCAGACAGTGTGATAGCTCAACCAACTAGTCCTCCCCTTTCAAGAGCTAGAATCCCATATGCGGAGTGGTTCATGTTCTGAATGCTCTGCTTCCCATCCAGCTCCCTGCCTGTGGCCTGGGAAAGCAGTGGAGGACGGCCCAAAGCCTTGGGACCCTGCACCCGCATGGGAGACCTGGAAGAAGCTCCTGTTTGGTTCAGTGCTGCTCTGGCCATTGCAGACACCTGGGGAGTGAACCAGTGGATGGAAGCGCTTTCTGTCTACCACTTCTACTCTCTGTAAATCTGCCTTTCTAATTAAAAAAAAAAAAAAAAGTTTATTTGAAAGGCAGAGCTACAGAGGTGAGGAGACACAGAGAGGGAATCCTACATCTGCTGCTTCTTTTGCCAATGGCTGCCAATGGCCAGGGTTGGACTGTGCTGAACTAGCAGCCAAGGGTTTCTTCTGCATTTGCACCTTGCAGGAGCCCAAGCATCCTGTCCATCTTTCACTGCTTTCTCAGGTGCATTAGTGGGGAACTGAATCAGAACTAGAGCAACCGAGAACAAAGTTGTCCCTATATGGATGCTACTGTCACAGGCCGAGGTTGAATACGTAATGCCACAACACCAGCCCTGAACTGCTAAATTTAAACTGTTCAGAGCCTTCAAAACAAAGGCAAAATAGGGCCTGGAGATATAGCACAGAGGATAAAGTCCCCGCCTTGCATATGCTGAGATCCCATATGGGCACTGGTTCTAATCCTGGCAGCCCCACTTTCCATCCACCTCCCTGACTGTGGCCTGGGAAAGCAGCAGAGGACGGCCCAAAGCCTTGGGACCCTGCACCCATGTGGGTGATCCAGAACAGCTCCTGGCTTCTGGCTTCAGACTGGCATAGTTCCGGCTGTGGTGGTCACTTGGGGGGTGGATCATTGGATGGAAGATCTTTCTCTGTCTCTCCACCTCTCTATACATCTGATTTATTTTTTTATTTTTATTGGAAAGTCAGATATACATAGAGGAGGAGAGACAGAGAGGAAGATCTTCCATCCATTGATTAATTCCCCAAGTGGCCACAACGGCTGGAGCTGAACCTATCTGAAGCCAGGAACCTGGAACTTCCTCCAAGTCTCCCACGCGGGTGCAGGGTCCCAAGGCTTTGGGCCGTCCTCGGCTGCTTTCCCAGGCCACAAGCAGGGAGCTGGATGGGAAGTGGGGCTGCCAGGATTAAAACCAGCACCCATATGGGATCCCAGCACATGCAAGGCAAGAATTTTAGCCGTGAGGCTACTGCCTCGGGCCCTACCCTCGGCATCTTTCTATTTAACTCATGAATAAGTTGGAGAATCAGAAGGAAACCGGGAAAATATCCTGAAGAAAATTCTGTATGACAAAATTTCTGGGTTATAGCTACAGCATTTTAATGAACAACAGAGTATAGTATACTGTCATTAGAGAACAAAGCTCACAAACCAAGGTTCCATGTGGGAGACCCAGATTAAGTTTCTGGCACCTGGCTGAGCCCTGATCATCAGTGGAGAATCATCTGCGCAGGCAACCAACCAAAGGACACAACATTTCTCTCTCTTAAAAAAATAAATCTCTTGGGCCTGGCGTGGTGGCCTAGTGGCTAAAGTCCTCGCCTTGAACTCACCAGGATCCCATATGGACGCCAGTGCTTCAAGTCAACAGCTGCAGATCCCCTAGGTTCATCCCTGCCCTGCCTGGCCACAGTGGGATTTTACATCCTTGCTCCCTTGCATGTCTGCACCCTGATCCTACTCTCCCCAAGGTGCTAACAGCACCGTGTGTAATCGACACATCTTCGTGCATTTTATTTTTGTTATTATGAATATTCTAATTTTGTATTTTTGTACATTTTAACCTAATGCCCTCATCCTGCAGTATGTTCTCAGGCACTGGTGAACCGTGGGACTCTGCATGAAGAGAAGCAAGCCACCACCTGGACGTTTGTTTCCTGGCACTTCCTGAAGCTCAGTGCTTGGGGCTGATCCAGTGGCCGAGTGGGTCACACTGCCACTTGTGATCCTAGCATCCCACATGGCTGTTCACCTGAGGCCCAGCTCTCCACAGCCTGAGAAAACCACCCAAATGGAAACCCAGATGCTTCCTGGCTCCAGCTGCTCCCGTCATCTAGGAAGTCCACCGGTGGACAGATCCTAACTCTCGTCTCTCCTTCCCTCTCTGCAATCCTTTGTGAAAAATAAAAAATCTTTCAAAAGCTGAATGCAGCACACATGTGTACATACACACCCACACTACAACTTAGCACTTAGAGTTGTGGATCTTTTATACAACTGAAAAATGTGGATATATACATCAAAACAGAAACATAAAATGCTTAATACTAAAGCTGCAGGTTTTCAAGCTACGAATAACACAATCTCTACTGTTTCTGTAACTAAAGTAGAACGAACAAATTCCCAAATTTGTGCAGTGCCTGAAACAGTCCACGGCAGTAGGAATGAATGAAGGCCAAGCTGTCCCAACACACTGTCTGCACCCAGACGGGAGGGTGAGATGGCAAGGATGGGGTACTGAGGGGGAGGCTCTTCCACACCTGGGAAACCACAAAGATACGCTGACTTTACAATTATTTATTCAACTCTACACTATGTATACTTGCCTAAGTATGTATCAATACAGAATTTACTTAGGTGGGTCACAGCAAAGTTAATAATCTGAAGCTTACAGTTCTACATACAACAACATGAGCATATCTCTTTGCACCCATCAGAATTTTCTGCCTACCGCACCTCACTTCTCTCTTCCTACTTTCCTTTCCACAATTCTGCCACACAAACACACATTCTACACCACAAATCTGTGTTTACCTCAGAGCATTTCCACTTGCTACTTTCTGTGCCTGAAAGCCCTTGCTTTGCAGGAAAGGTTCCCTCTTATTACTCAGATCTAGCAAAACCAGACCATCAGATATGATGGAAGGCCTATGTGTTCGAACCAATAGAAGCACATGCGACACGTGTCCCACAGCTAATGCATCATCTTAGTTCTCAAGATGTAAAAAGCTCAAGTTGTATTGCTTCTTTTTATTTTCTGTCTTCTTACCCAAGAACAGAGATTCACTCAAAGTGAGGAACTTGTTTGCTCAGTGTCTGGTATATTAGCACACAGAAAATACTCAACAATGATTTGTTTTGGAAGCATTAATGTGCAAAACAAAAGACTTTAGCCATGGATGAGAGGCCTGTGTGAAATTAAAGAAAGAAAAAAAAACAAGTAATTTAAATGACTTTAGGCTATTAAGCAAATTATTTTTAAATTTCTATTTTTATTTGTGCAAGAGGAGAGAGGGGAAGAATATTCTCTTGCAGTTTATATCCCTAACCCTAACCTGAACTCAGCCGGACTGGCATGTGGGCGGAAGGTGGCTGACGACCTGAGCCACCACCTGCCTCCCAGGGTGCCCGCCAGAGGAGGGAGCGGAAAGCAGAACTCCAACCCAGCTCTCTGACAGACAGCTAATATTTATCAGGTAAATATCATAAAAATTGCTGCTATGCTTTATATAAGCATTAGACCTAGCCATTTTTGAGTGAAAATTTCAATACACATAACATGAAAAACAACATTGGAAAGCTTAGTTAAGACGGTAAACTTATCTTAAAAATTTAATATACTCGAACTCTAAAAATTTACACCTTGAAATTTATCCTAAGGAGAAACAAATATTTTATTCCTGTAGCCTTGGTTCTACTTATCTCACCATGGTTTATAAAATTATAAAAATGATAAATACAAAGATCAGACCTCTGATTCTGTGTGTTTACATGAACAGGACACCTATAATATGAAAGCAGTGATCACTAACACACTGAAGACTGAGAAGCGGGGAGGGGAGGTCGCATCAGAAAGCACGTGCCCATCGGCCCGCACAGAGCGCGAGCGGAGCGCACTGCACACTCCCTGGTTACGCAAGAACGTCACTGCCACTGCTCCCAATTCTGGGCTTTTGTGCAATCTATATGTATTACTTTTATAAAATGATGAAATTCTTTATCTCTTTCTGAACAGTCTACCTAGTAATTTAAACAGTTAACAAAATAAAATAAATGTATATATCCCTGAACGAGACATTTTAGATTTCCTCATGGCTCAACTACTTTACAATAGCAGTTTCTTTTGTACAAAGAAAAATGGTGAAGACAACAAAGCAATGTGTTTAATATCTAGTTCATATTAACTCTTAATTCTTTTGGGGGATAGAAATAAAACTTTACATGATAGAATGTGACCAAAATTACACAGTATATCATATAAAATTATTTTTATAGAAGCCAATGATGTTGAGTGTCAAACTATAATTTCATTTCTTTTTCAGTAAAGAAAAATTTCTCAGTGAAAGAGTATCAGGAACCAAAAACACAAGGATGCTCTAAGCATTCAAACATTTGATACTTCTAACAGCACGTGACTCAGCCAGAGCCACGCACGGGAAAAGCTGCAGTGAAGCTGGGAGTGGCGTCCAGCACACGGCAAGCTTAGGGCCGTGGCTCCACGCTCTGTGGGTATCGCCCATCTTCCACTCCAGAACAGTGCCCAGAACAGGCTTCCCCTTCAAGGCCCACAAGTCTCCGGGCCCTCTCCCTCCCTGCAGGTGGCCCATAGGGTCTGGAATCCCCACCCCCTCACTTGTGTAAGGAACATTACAAAATTAAATTTAAATACGAAGGAAACAGAAAAGAATTGAACAACTCACTCTAGTTTATATTAAAGGCACTAAAATTTCCTGTCTTACTCCTTAAGACAATTTTATAGCAGTTAAAATACTTTTATTACCAGAATTTTATCATTAGCAGTTAAACCTATAGACCAGTAACATTTAAGATATCATTTTAGCTTCTTGATTACAGCACAATTCACTGAAGGCAACTTTATATTTTCAAAAGTTTACAATTTAATCTAAATTCAACTAATATGACATAAATCCTAATTTCACGTATCTGTAAGCAAAAGGCCACTGGAAAAAATTTACTATTAGTTGATATATACAATTTCTTGAAACTAGTCTCTGTTAATACCAATTTGTAAGGTATCTAGCACGTGCTGTTTTGGTAACTTGTTAAACAGAACTTCAGTGTCACTCCGGTACCATCGCCTTCCCAGCACGAGGCTCGGCATTTCTGTTCCACGACTAATGACAGACCACACCCTGCAATAGTAACATTCCCTGCCGTTATTCAAAAGCTAAAAAAAATAGCCAAGAGGAAGGTATGAAACACCCTCTTTGTGTCATTTTGAAGCTTCTTATTTCACATATTTCAAACACATATCCACAAATAGCTGTCCTCTAGATCACACACTGTCTCACAGCCAGAGCTCTGTGCGGGCTGAGAGGGACGGGAACTCCCACGCCTTCTTCGCTGCACAGCTGCCCAATGCTTTTAAATAAACAGAATCCTCCTGAAATCCACTATCAAGACCTGGAGTGAGTAACAGAAGCATCTCATTATTTACTGCTGCTAATATAGATTTACTAAAACCAGAAATTAGAACAGAGTTCACCAGACATTCTAGGAAAAAACATGTAAATAGGTACATTATATATCACGCTAATGCTAACGGCATGTGTAAGCACCGTGGGCAGGGAGTACGCTGGCTCAGCTACATACAACCTGAGCAGCTCACATCTTACGGGAGTTACCTTCACAAAATCTCTATCCGTCTTCTCTTTCCATTCTTCTCCAAACACAGTGGAAAAGGATCCCAAAGCTAAAAGAATACAGAGTGTGTTCAGTAACACTTCATTCATTCTTTCAAACAACTTACTAATATGTAACGGTAAGACCAACATTTTAATACAGCTTGTGTCCTGGAGATTGTTTTACAGTAAATGACAGAAAGACATGGTAATCACTTTTGAAGTACTCTTCTTAAAATTATAGCACTTAAACAAAATGCATGCTTCTACAAACCAAAACTATGTAATTTATTTTTAGAATAGTCACATAGAGCATTAGGAAACAAAAATTGCTAAAATAATAACTCTACAGAATATTAAAAATTCAAACTGCTGTTATACACAAAGTTTGCAGATAATTGTGCAACTCACATGTCTAATGCACATTGTGACCTTGAGGGAAATTCCCAAGTTTAAAGGCGTTCTTGCTGACAACACAAGGTGGATACCTTCTGGAGCCCAGCCATCTTTTCCAGGGGTTCCTTAGTGTCCTGTCTCTCCCGCCCCACAGGTGGCCCGCCATCCCCACCAGAGAGGGATGCTCACGTTGACGTTCTGACGTTCGTGTCCCGCTGCATGCCTTTAGGCCAGAGTCAACCACAGCCCAGCTCAGCAGGACATGATACTAGCCACCTTTAAATGTGGACCTAATATTTTCTTGACACTGAGTAAAACAGTTTCCAAAGTATTTAAATTAGCATGAAAATTTTTATTGGAATAAAATGTTAAAGGCCAAGGAACAGAAGCACTTCAGACATTTGCTGACCACTTCAGTGCTGATATTGGGGTTGGGAGGAAATGACAGGAAGAAAAGGTAAAAACTTGGTACCAAAATCATTTACACTGACCACAAAGGGCAGCTCACAAAATACAAAGCCTACATGTAAATAGCAGGTTCAGTCAGAAAAACAAAACCCATGCACTACTAAACAGTCAAAGTTTTGTTTGTCCTGAGAAATATTTTACATTTAAAAAAAACCCAAATTTCCCTGGGCAAAACAGTTTATTATTTTGTCACATGGAAATCTGTATTATATTTCAAGCACAACAAACATGCAAACACTCCATATTTTGCAAAGGAAGTGACGACTACAACTTCTTTCTAGTTAAAACCCCACGCCCACAAATAAATGAAAGGCTCTCAAAAGTTCAAGCCTCGGCCTCCAGTGAGCAAATGCGCATGATGTACCCAGCGTGTTTGTAGGGTCGTCATAACGTCCACATCTACTCTGAGACACCTAAACTTCGCTCAAGTCTGCTGGAAGACAGAACTACACTCTGCCAACAGCACTTAATTTTAGTGATATGGATTAGTATACAGCATAATTACTTATTCTTTAAAAACAAAACAAAAACCACCCATGCAGTGCTTAAAGCTAAACTGTGATTGAGAAGGTGACGGCCTAGGGGACCTGAACCGGTTATTTACAGCAAACACATGACTCCGCTGTGCAGAGGCCAAGACTTCAGTAAAACTGCTGGGATTGCAGAATAAGCCACCTTTCCAAAATCTTCCCTTTAAGACTTTTTAAAAACTTGGGAACAATTCCAACTCCATCTTATTTGCAAAAAAACACAGGTGGAAAGCTATATTTCAAAGATCAAAATAAAACATAAAGAATACAGAATCTAAAAGTGAGATAGAAACCCAACTAACCTAAACCTTCAGTTATAATACAAACTGAAACACACTGGAAAGGCAGATACACAGAAAGAAGGAGAAACAGACAGAAACATCTTCATTCTGCTAGCCAATACCCCAAGTGGCCACAGCGGCTGAGCCGAGCCGAAGCCAGGAGCCTCTTCCGCGTCTCCCACGCGGGTGCAGGGTCCCAAGGCATTGGGCTGTCCTCGACTGCTTTCCCAGGCCAGCAGCAGGGAGCTGGATGGAAAGTGGAGCTGCCGGGACAGGAACCAGTGCCACACGGGATCCAGGCGGGTGCAAGGTGAGGATCGAGCCAGTAGGCTATCATGCCGGGCCCCCAAGACAGTAGTTTCTTTAAAATCTTCTTCCCAGTACCAAGAATAGTTTCAGGCAGGGAAAGAAACTTATTTTTATCTTTGTTTAAACTGATATGAAGGTAGTTTTTACACAAAGTAAGTGCTTGGTACATTTCAAAGAACCCTATCACGAAAACGCACCAAATTTGAAAAGCAAGCTAGGTTAAAGTTGCAGAGAAAGTGAATTTAACAGCAAAAAATTTGCTATCTAAGGATTAAAATATCAAAAAGATATAAACTCTAAAAACAAATTCTCTCACAGACCATGTTCTGTGTTGTAAGCATTAAGTTCAATATATATCAACAACTTTGGTTTTAAGAGGATGCACTCCAGGGAAGGGAAACGGGCACACTGCCCTGAACGAGGGATGCTGGAAAGCAAGCAACAATTGCACATCAATTACATCCAGCTACCAGACTTTACAAAGGGAGAAAAAGGTTTCAAAACATACTTTCTAAATCTCTAGCCCTCCACAATTAGAAAAGCAAGCAATTACTCTGAAGAGTAATTTTAGCTTAATCAGAGGTAGTTTCGGAGAAGGTAAATTTGATATATAGGGAGGTAAAGACAGCAAAGTGTGATGTAAAAACGAATATAAAATATTCGATAACCTTATCTGGGCTATTCTGAGAGTAACTGCACAGACGCCCCGAGCCCACATCTTTCAATAACCTTGCAGCCAGACATTAGCAGGGGGAGCAGACTTCAGAAAGCAATGCCTCCAAGAGCCAGTTTCTTTATCAGAATTCTTTAACAATCAAATTGCTCGTCAAGAAATGCATCTATTGCTCCAAGATAAAACAAAAAGGGGGTTTTACTTAAAAAACACAAAGGAGGCAAAAATACCAGATTTTTGCCATTCTAATTCTTACAGACCAAATGCTGCCAAAAAAGAGTGGGGGGAGGGCAGTGCTACGACACAGTATGTAAAGCAAGCACCTGTGCTGCTGGAGTCCCTAGGGTCCCAAAGCCTCTGACCTGCAACTCGGCCCCTGCTAAGGGCCTGGGAGAAGCAAGTGCTAAGACCCAGCCACCAGCAGCGGCCCAGACTGCTTCTGGCTTTGGCCTAGCTCAGCTCTGCCTACTGCGGCCACCTGCAGAGTGAACCAGGGGTTTTAAGATTTCTTTTTCTGTTTCTCTCCATGCCCTCTCCGCCTCTCCTTGTAACTCTCTCAAATAAATAAATAAATCTGAACGCAGACAAACAAACAATAAACATTTGACCTAGCAGTTAGGAGGCCAGCTGGTGTGCCCACATCCCCCAAGGAGAGCATCATGGTTAGTAGCTACTTAGCTCTGGCTTCTGACCCTAACTTCCTACTCCTGAACACCAGAGGGCAGTAGCGATGGCTCCATGAGCCCAGCCACACTCCATGGGGTCCTTCAGGGTGGGGGCCACCAATCAGGAGCACGCGGTGAGGTGCGTACTCTTTCTCTGTCTCAAATGAACACAATATTTATAAATCCCCAACATGTATGTTTTTAAACAACACATTGAATAAAACCAAATAAAGAATGACATTATACTGAATTTTTAAAAAACCCTAAAAAGCAAAGTATGCAACTCTACCATGACTGGAATAACCATATAGCTTCAACTTTAAACTTACTGTCATCGAACACCCCTGCATTAGCAAGTAACAGAGTGATGATCTTAGGGTCTTTCTCCAGCTGCATGGCATGCTTGCTCTCATTCGACAGGAGAGTGCACACATTGATAGCGAAATCCACTTCATTCGGGAGTCCAGAGAGCAGCGAGAGCACCAACTTGTTATAATCCTTTGGCGAATTAAAGTCCATAGATAACCCATAACTTTGCCGTAAATAATCTAAGAAAAACAAAACCAAAGGGCCATAAGCAGGTATCAAACACAGAATGTCCTCCTCACGGCAGGTAACTCCTGATGCAGGCAGATGCTTCAAAACCAACTAATTAATATAAACAATAAATAAGTTGGCAGCTTAATAGAGTTCATTTCTAAACTTCTAAGGTTTACTCACTGACTGATAAAATTATACTCTTTGAAAAGTATGAAAATATGAAAGTGCACTTACCTGTTTGAACATCAGTGTCAAAATACCACTGTATCATTATTTTAATTATTATGCATTTTACTTACATATTTCATGAGTAAATTTCTGATGCACTAAGATATGATGAACATCATAGAAACCATGCTTCTTGGTTCCGGAATTCTGTAAATTCTGACAAATTTTAGGATGGAGTCCTTGACATGACAGTCGCCATGTTCATCACTTCAGGAAGCTGCTTCTGCCTCTTCGCAGTTACTTCTAACTCCTCTGCACCACCAACTTTATATTTGGTTCCTATCATTTTATTCCAACTGTACAAATAGTGTCCCCGCCACTGTGTAAGACACACAGCATCCTGCAATACCAGTATTCCATGGAGGGAAAGGCCGCTGCCCAACTGCCAATACACATGGACATCGGTGGAGGACGAGCCAAGTCTCTGGGCCTCTGCACTAGTGCAGGAGACTCAGATGAAGCTCCTGGCTCCAGCCTTGCTCAGACCTACCTCTTGTGGTCATTTGGAATTATGGGGAATGAACCAGCAGCTGGAAGTTATCTTTATGTAGGTTCTGCTTTCAAGCAATCAAATAAACAATAAGAAATCTTCTTAAAATTCATAAACAAATGGAGCATAGCTCAATGATTAACTTCTTACCTTGCAAAAGCAGGGATACCATATGGGTGCCATTTGGCGTCCCTGCTTCTCCACTTCCCATCCAGTGCTCTGCTTAGGTCCTGGGAAAGCAGCAAAGGACGGCCCAGAGCCCCGGGACCCTGAACCCACGAGGGAGACCAGGAAGAAGCTCTCGGCTCTGGGCACTGGATCGGCTCAGCCACAGCCACTGTGGCCACTGGGGGAGTAAACCAGCAGATGAAAGATCTCCGTTTCTCCTTCTCTCTATAAATCTGATCTGCCTTTCCAATAAAAACAAACAAATTCTTTGAAAAATTTAAAAATAAATGGAATCTTATGAGTATGTCGAGGAAACTGCAAAAATTTCATGGAAAACACATGTTATGAGAAACTTCCCATGCCCACTGCCAGAGCTGGGGCAGGGCCTGGGCCAAGAGCAGGGGAGGGAGGACATGGATCTCATGGCCCCACCACTGCAGCTGGCCTGGCTTGCACAGGGCTTGAGAGCCAGTCTTGGGACTTTTTGGCAGGGGCTGGGTACTGAGTCCATGTGGACATCCCACTGAGACAGAGCTCATGAGAGGGAGTCATTAGATGGGACAGGAAGAGATTTTGGAATCTGGGCCAGAATAAGTGGGCATAGATCCAGAACATATTCCACCCGTCTGCATCAAAAATTAACAAATGATGTAGCTGCTCAGCTCTGGTTTGCTGCTCATGACTTAGAAAAAGTAGCAGAAGATGGCGGATGTCCATGGGCCCCCACCACCTACAGGTGACACACATCCTTTGCCATTGTGGCTGTATGTGGAATGAACTAGGGGATGAAGAACTCTTACTAACTCTGGATATCAATTAAATCAAAGAATGATTTCAAAAGTTTTCACAGAAAGAAATAAACATGCTCTAAGTTCTATGTTCACAATCTTGTTTTCTGTGTCTAGCTCCTCTCATTCAGGAAGATGTTTTCTACATACACAGCCAGGCTGACGTACTCTCCGCCATGCTGGGTTTGCACCAGCACCAAGTGCCAAGACGCTGCTGAGACCGTCATGTGTTTCTTTTGGCTAAATATCTAAAAGTGGGATTGCTCTATCACGTACAAGCATATGCCTGAACTTTTTACAAAAAGTAAAACTTTTTTGAAAGCAGCCATTAATAGCCTGTATAACTTTCAGCAATATAGACACAGTGCCTGCTGCTCCTTGTCCTTGCTAGAGTATTTAATAACCCTGAATATTCTCGATACAATTGATGTATCTAATTTGCTTGGTAAATATTTTCTTCTGGAATGCAGTGTGGTTGCATTTTTTAAGTATTCTGAAAAGCAACGTTTAAAAAAAAAAAAGCTCTTTTTATTGGAAAATCAGATATACAGAGAGAAGGAGACAAAAAGATCTTGCATCCTAGGGTTTACTACCCAAATGGCAGTGATGGCCAAAGCTGAGCTGATCTGAAGCCAGGAGCCAGGAGCTTCTTCCTGGTCTCCCACAAGGGTGCAGGGTCCCAGGGCTCTGGGACATCCTCGACTGCTTTCCCAGACCACAAGAAGGGAGCTGGATGGGAAGTGGGGCCACTGGGATATGAACTGGTGCCCACTTGTGATGCCAATGGATGTAAGTTGAGGATTTAGCCACTAGGCTATAGCGCCAGGCCCAAAAAGAAATCTTAAGTTTAATGATGTCTGATTTATAAATGGTTATTTTTACGGTTGGTAGTTTCATGTCCTAAGAAATTATTTTAAAGCCAAAATAACTAAGATTTTCTACATGATATTTAAGCCTGGACTTTGAAGGTAGAGAAACTTGGACTTATAAAACAATCAGGCACTATATAAAACCACAACACATGTAAGAAAAAGCAAAATTTTTTAAAATGTTAATTTTAACAGGGCAGTTTAAGCTTTCACAACTATGCCCTGAGGCAAATAACACAAGTACGTTTTTACAAATAAAGTCAAAGCTACATGAAGGTGAAGAGCCAAAAAAACAAATATTACAGCACATCTGAATTAAACATAAGAATAGTAAAAAAGAAACAGAACAGTAAACTTCCTTCAGGACTAGGGAGAGGAGCTTTCTCTGTTTCTTGCCTGGTTCTGACTTTGGGTCCCCACCCTCTCTCGTAATGACCATCAGGATCGCTCCAGAAGCCCCTTAAAACAAACAAACAAATAAACAAAAAAAACCTAGAATAGATAGAGAACAGCAAGGAAAGCTTAGAAACAGGAAACGGGCAGTGGGGATGCACTTATAACTCACTAGGTGGGACACAAAGATTAGTTACTCCTCACTGGGGTATTGAAGATTTCTCTGCACTCCCCTCCCAAAACTGTTCACCTAAAGTGTTGACATGTCTTGCTAGAGTTATAGTTAGACTACCCGAAAAACAGCCAGGTTCTGCAAAATCATGCTTCAACGCTATAAACTGATAAATACTAAAATTAAAATAGACATGAGACAGCTGAATAGTAATCTATAGCCATTTTAAGGTGTATAGAAACCAGTTATATATAAACTAATAATTGTAATGTCAATGTAGAAGTCATAGGATGTGATTCAGAACTTGCACTCTTTTTTTTTCTCTCTCTCTCTCTTTTAACATGCTGGTTACACAATACCATGCCAACTAATTCCATTACGTTATAAATTGTTTCTGATGTAATGTTAGGGCTTTTAATTGATTGGGAGGATATTCTGTCGGCTCTACCTTCAGACCAAAGATGGTCTCCCCAAGAAACCGTTGAACTTATCTGGACAATAAGATGCTGGACTGTATCCTTTGTAGATGCTTGCAAGGAAAGAATCTCAACTGAATTTGAACTGTGGTAATGCAACAAGGTGGAAGAATCCACCATGGGTGGGGCGGGTTTGGGGGAGGGGAGGGAGGAATCCCAGTGCCTATAAAACTGTGTCACATAATGCAATGTAATCAATAAAAAAAGAAGAAGAAGAAGAAAAGAATATTTAAAAAAATCTGGGTTTTAAAAAGCTTAAATCTTGAAATGGAATGTAAGTATAAACCTACTGTGACAACACAGAGAGGTCATAAAGTATATATACACACACACATATATATATCTCAAGACCCCTTTCCAGTTCTAAAACCTGCCAGTAATGTCTACAATAAAATAGTGCTGAAGTGCTAGAACACAGCTAAATATGACCATGATACTTTGTTTACACCTATATATGGTGATAATACCTTGTTTAGAGTGAACTGTAAGAGTATATTGTTTATTTTAAATGAAATGTCCCATGAACAGTAACATACACACAAAAGGCTGATGTCGCTGCTCCCTGGACGGCTGACCAGACTGTCGACGAGCCGCCAGGGCCAGCAGCACAGGACTCCCCTGGACAGTCTGGCACTGACACAGAACGCCGATCTGTCCTAAGACGAGGCACTTTCAGCATTATCTCAGAAATTCCATTTGCCACACACACTCACTCATTCAATACACATCAATGATTCTGTCAAAGACTTCTGATTATGAAAGGCCCCGAGTTACATCAGGCTTTGTAAAGATTTCTAAGAAAGCATATGACACAATGCTTCCAAGATTTTAAGTTCCTTTCTATCTATCACCAAGGATATATGAATCAACAGTTATCACTTCATAATCAGAAATGAACTGGAAATTTATCTGGAATATTTTTGACTCAAAGTTTACAGAAAAAAATCCCTGTTAGGAGGATCAAGATGGCAGAATAGGGTAAGGAAACGTTTAAACAGATGGAGAAACAATAGCCAGGGTGAAGCAGAGAGGGCACATTCCAGGAAACAGGAGAGGACAGAACAACAGCAGAGGGGCACCTGGAGACTGGCAGGCGCAGGAAAGCAGCGGACACAATGGTGTGGTGCTGCACACACTAACTGCTAAGCCAGCTGCACCAGCAGCTGAACTCGACCAGCAAAAAGGTGGGAAGGAATGTTCACTGGGAGCTCAGGAGGTGAACTCAGACAAAGAACTGTCTGTCCTGCTGGTCTGTTTGATTTGACCAGGAGCAGAGACAGAGTGGCAGATCCCAGGTGCGTGGTGTGGGAACATGGTGGATTTCACAACCCAGTCTGGCCCCTAGAGCTGTATCAGGCACCGTTTTGTATAAGAAAGTAAAGGCTAGGGACTGTGCATGCTCTGAGCTGGGGGTGACATCATTT